TGTGCAATCTATCTTCTTGTTCAAAATATAATCAATATGATTTTTTCCATTGTACTGATAGCGATTACCGCTGGTTTCGTCAAGAATCCTTGTTCATGTTTCTTTAATAATCTAGCCTGTAAAACAATTGATTGGCTCGACGTGACTGGTGACATTCTCGGTATTATTGGACTTGGATGCAGAGCGAAGCTACCAATACTTAAGGGTCTTCTTGCCTGTGCTATATTAATGTTTCTCTCTAGTATTACCTACATCATTGCATATATTGCTATTAGTATTTGGCTATGCAAGAAAGGAACATCCAATACTGTACACACAGAAGCAGTTTACCAAAGTAGTGTGGACTCGGTTACAATAAGACAACAACAACCGGACAGTCTAACCCGTGGTTATGAACATACAGGTCCACCGGAGAATCATCGTCCTTGATCATCATTTGTCACCACCAAAATCGACACCTCGTCCAGAACAAGATCCATTTAATGAGGTACACAAGGCATATATTTAACATACAACTTTTTGAATTGAAACATACAGTTAAATCAAGAAAAATCTTTTTTTTTATAATTCGTGTAATACTATATTCATAAATAAAAGCATAAAAAACATTTCACCACTAAAGTTTATGTGTGTTTACAGACGATCCATGACAGGATCGAAAATTTTTACTATGAGCTACCTGAACATATGTGTGAGTGTAGATGCGTGAGGATGTGAATGTGGGTGTGTGTTTGTGTGAGTATGAATCATTTTTCTTCTCGATTCACACCCACACACCCTTGAATTCATGGATCATTTGACATCATTCAAATAAATAACTGGGTGTGAGTGATAGATAAAAGATCCACATCCACACTAGTCGTCTTCAAGTATACATCCAGAATAAATAATAGAATACTGATTTACACTCTCATTCGTCTCTTTTTACTTTCAATAATATGAATTCTATTTTCTTTTTCATTTATTTATTCAGAAATAATTAGTAGTTTTTCCATAATATGCCTTATTTCTTTGTTGAGATTATCATCCTTTTTATAAAATTATGCAAATAATAGGAACATAAAATATATTCACTTTCTTAAATACAACAATTAAGATGATCAAACTATTTAGCAAAAAAAGATGTGAGTAGAAAAAATTGATTTTTTTTAACATATAATTCAGTTATTCATTTCTCACGTTTATTTGATAACGATTATTCATAAATTATCATCCGAATACATGTGGCTGGGAGCATCAAATGATTAAAATTCTTCATATCTGTATTTATATTCACTTAGTTGTTAAACTAATGATCGGCCTTTTATCAATCATTGCTCCTTTTCAACAATCGTCATACAACATGACTTCGAGATATTACTGCAACTCATATATTATTTAGAGAATGATTAAATAATTTGATTACATATTTAAAAGAAAGTTATGATTCAATTCACAAAAGAAAATGTCATTCTGTCTATATCGATTGATAAAGCTCAGCACTATTGAGAACACCACCGCTGTTGTACCCACCAACAACTAATACTGACCCATTTACTAATGTGGATGCTGTGTGAAGATATCGCCCGACATTCATGCTTTCTGTGGGTGTCCAAGTACCTGTTGATGAATTGTACAATTCAGCACTATTGAGATAAGCATCGCTGGCATATCCACCAGCAACTAGTACTACTCCATTTGCGAATAAGCATGCTGTGTGACGGCTTCGTAAGAAATCCATGCTTCCTGTTATTGTCCAAGTTTCTGTTGATGGATTGTAAAATTCAGCACTGCTGAGAACACCATCGCTGCTGTGCCCACCAATAACTAATACTGATCCATTTGCTAATAAGGATGACGTGTAATATTGCCGTGTAACACTCATGCTTCCGGTAGTTGTCCAATTGCCTGTTGATGAATTGTATACTTCAGCACTATCGATATAATTATCACCGTTGTATCCACCAGCAACTAATACTGATCCATTTGCTAATAAAGATACTGTATGAAGATATCGCGCGGCATTCATGCTTCCTGTGGGTGTCCAAGTACCTGTTGATGGATTGTACAATTCAGCACTATTGATAATCATACTATGCTGTCCACCAGTAACTAATACTAACCCATTTTCTAATGTGGATGCTGTGTGATATGCTCGTACGACACTCATGCTTCCTGTACTTGTCCAAGTGCCTGTTGCTGGATTGTACAATTCAGCACTATTGAGCAGATGAGGGCCGTTGACTCCACCAGCAACTAATACTAGTCCATTTGCTAATGTGGATGCCGTGTGATGATATCGTGCGACGTTCATGCTTCCTGTCGTTGTCCAAATACCTGTTGTTGGATTGTACAATTCAGCACTATCGAGAATATACTTGTTCTGTCCGCCAGTAACTAATATTGATCCATTTTCTAATGTAGTCGCTGTGTGAATTTGTCGTGCGATATTCATGCTTCCTGTGATTGTCCATTCTATATAAGGTAGAAAAGTGAGAAAAAAATATTATTCTTAAAATGATTCCGAATCTCTTATGTGCATAAGTTGTCTATTTATTGATCACAGATTAAATGACTTGAAATCTCCAATAAATTTTTCTTTGCTTTCATGGTTATGATAAGTTTCGTTATGAAATTTTAAATCAAATTAATGAAAAATATGTTATAAACGACTTCATTACGATTTTTCGAATTCTACCGTTGTCGCGAACTCACGAAACTCAACCACTGTTCTACAATTCAGTTATAATGAATAATGATCGAATTGTAAAGTTTAAATGAAAGCCATTCTACATTGTTTAACATAGTGGAAACATGATATACTTTTACTGCGTTGGATGTGTTATGATGTAGGTAAAAATGAATGTCAATAAGGATGTGACTGTAATTGAGAGAATAATATAAAGCTTGTATCATTCTCATGAGAAAATCACTGCACTAAAGGTTAATTGATGATAATGAAAGACATTTTTCTTGAGTTTGAAGTTTATAGTTTATATTACTACCATAGTTTTCTCGAACTACTCAACTCTATACAAATACGACTCTAAACATGAGATAAGATGTTGATAGACATGTATCATGCCGATATTATGTCAACTAGTGCTTCAACGTGTAGAATTATTCTCCGATTATCTTAAGAGTGGATGGGTGTGAGTGGCTTTTAAAATAATCAATGAGTTCTATTGCATGAAAGTCTTTTTATCAACAATATTTTCGTCTAACACTGTTGGACAGGACAAGAATATGTAATACTTAAATGAATGTAGATCGAATAAAATTATCAAAAATTGGCCCTAATCCGACTTCTGATAGGAAATGTTCTCTACTGTTGTCTATTTAAACGGTGATCATTCAATAGTTAAAATCAAAACTTTTTAGATATCGTCACTTCTATTAATCATCCTTTGGCTATTAAAAATGATTTAACATAGTATTCACTCGGTATTGCTCTTGTTGTTGTGGATGTTGATGATGTTGTTGTTGGTGTTGATGTCGTAGTTGGTTCTATTGTAGAAAAATGATTTTAGATTGAGACTAAACAGTTGTATAGTGTTTGTCTGTTTCTTTTTCTTTAAAAATATATTGATGTTAAATATGAGTTGATTATAATTAAATAGAAAATGTTTAAAAGGTTTAGATTATAATCATAACTCTATGATGTTTACTTTGATTAAATCTTTACTATAATAATTTTGACAACTGAATTTACATCTTGACGGTGTATGTGAATCCGAGTGGTTGTCTTCGCTTCATACAAACACTCACGCACACACGTACTCTCAAGATATTATATATATATATACATATAGATATATATTTCTTACTTGACTGGACGCAGTCCAATCCAACTCAGTCCGAGCTTAGACTTCAACTTCATTTCTATTTTTTTGGAATTAGAAGAATTTTCTATGATTATCCTTAAAAGTATTTAATTAAATTTATAGGAAGTTTCTTGTATACCACTTTATTTGATTTTTCTGAAAATCGAAATTTATCATCCCATGAATATCCTAGGTGATATACGTCTTGATGTCCTCTGTCACCAGTAGAAATATTAGAGTGATTGCTTGTTGCCGTATAAAATACGAGGGATTAATATTTTAGTAGGAAAAAACGAGTAAGATCCATTTTGTTAATGACGTTTTAGAGATTCTTATAGGTTGAACAAAACTTTTGAAAAGATTCATATGTAAAACTAACCTTTATTCAAGGATATTTCGTGAAAAATCAAAAATTCTGCTCGCGTTTTGTTTATTTGCGTATGAAGAGCTAAATCAATCGAGATGAAAATTTCAGCTGGATTTTCTTAGAGGGTTATTCTTAATAGATATCCTTCTACATGCTAAAGATTTCATTATACATCTCAGAAAAGCTTTTGGCATTATTACTTAGAAGTATCATGTATGAGTTGTTATGATAAATAATGAAGTTCTACTTCTGTTATTTGAAATAACTTATCGTATATAAACTTCAAAATAAAGGAGTATTTCATTTTAACTACCTGTTGTTGATGTTTCTTCACTGTTTTTCTTTTTTGTTTTAACGGTAACAATTGGAATTGTTATAATTATAACAAGTACAATAATAGTAAATGTGATCCACATCACTTTTCTTCGTTTCAAATATTCACATCTAGAATAATAAATCTTTTTTATCATTGTCTACAATTCATAAAATACATACAAATTTTTTGGTTGAGCTGTATTCAATACAATTGTTTTAGACTAAAATAATCAAAAAAGATAAAATATTACATTTTATGCTTTTTCTTTTTCTCAATAAATTACATCATTATCAGTTCCTATTCTGTTGTTCATTGTTGATACTGCTACAATCTAAAATCAACAAAAACTTTTTTTCATTCATAGATTCTCAGTCATTAATAATATATAATCACGAGGAACCTAAACGGTTTATATGTATGTCTCGTTAATTGTTGAAATCTATATTTCTTACCGACTGGTCTTAGAAGTTTTTTATTCTGATTTCAACTATAAAATTGTTAAAATAATAGAAAAAATATTTATTATGCTCTCTCTTTCTCTTTCTTAAATAATCAGTTCTTTGTTTATGACGTAGATCATCATGTTAATGTAAAAAATCATATATCAATAAAAACAATGAGCTGACTTCCTTTTTCAATGTTTAGTGTAATTATTAGTTAATAAAACATTGAAAATCAGTGCTGTTCAAAGGATATGCAACATTTACTGACAGAGAAAAAAACTGACGTTAAAATATTCTACTATACACAAAGATTCTCCTAAAATAATTGAGAATTAGACAATATTTATGGTTAGAAATTGAAATAGAACATTCAAAGAAACAAAAACGATTAGTACTTGATCTTCACTTACTTATAGTTTACTAGATTTGACTAGTTAATAAAGAAAATTATAACCATAATTCTAATTACAATCATAGTCATGTACAATATGCAAATTCTTTAAATAATTATATTTAGATGTGACTGTTAGCAATTATGGATACTATATTTGTGATTGAATATTTATGTAGAAAAAATGAATATAAAAGAAACAGGATTTATATTAATACTGAATTATTTTATCGACAAAATATCTTTTCAACAATAATTTGATAACTAACAACGTAGTTATGGCTTAACTCTATAGACTTTCAAATGAATGAAAAATAATAAAATACATTCTTTTCTCACAGGAAACTTTGCATTTCCTTCAGAAGTGCTGATTTTCAATGTTTTTCTTTTTATAAAAATTAACGCTTGTTTGAACTGGTTTAGTTTCACATGCTACGACGTAGATTTCGACATTTACAATAGATAATATTTTATTCAAAACTGATCTTATTGTTTTCATTGACATATCATGTTTTTTTTTACAAATATTTCATATAAAAGCAATTATATACAATGAGCATCAGAATTATTCACTCATTCTTATTTTTATTTTAAATCAAACATTTGAGAATACATTTCTTGATACTTAATAATTTAAATAATGTCGAACATAGTTTATGATTCGAATAAATATAATTACAAAACTATGAAATCAATAAAAATGAGAAAATAATCTTCTCATTTATTTTTTTTCATAAATTATTATCTATAATTGATATTTGTCTTCTATTAAATGAAATAAAAACAGGTCCTTTCTTTTTTTTGAAATATTTACAACAAACACAACATTTGAATTTATCAATAAATAAAAACAATCAATTCGCTTCCTTTTTAAAAACTGATGTGAAATGTCAGACATTATTTGCTGTGAATATAAAAAAATATTCATGATATTGAAGTTTTGTAGGAAGGATGTGAAAACAAAGTGTTTCAAACAAAATTTAATGTTATTCTTGTTAAGAATACATCGAAAATTATGCCTTTATGGAGGAAATACAACGCTTCCTGAAGAATAAAATGTTTTGTTATTTAGTATTGAGTTGAAAGAGAAAGTATATCGACCTTATATGCTGTTAGAAATGTATTGTACAATTGATTTTATTCTTATTTCACACAGTAGATCAATGATAAAAATGTAATTGTTTATCTTTAGAATGAATCTTCGTCAAATACTATTTAAAGATATGAATATTATCGAAACACATCAAATCTATGAGAAATAAATACATAAAATAAAATAATTAGAATTCAACAAAATCATAATTTTATTATCCTCTGAAATTGTTCATTATGATGAATCATTATGATCAAGCTAAGATATTAATTATTTCTTTTATACATTTTAAAAGTAGAAAACATTGTAGAGAAGAGAAATAAAAAAATACGTTAAAAGTAATTGACAAATAATATATTAAAAATATTTTATATTTGCATATACAAGAGAACAAAGAAGAAAACATTATACTGAAACTGACATTGTGAGTAAGTAATTGTAAATGTTGAATACTTTCTTAAAAACAATCATATTTTCTGTTGTTCGAACAAAATTCAACTGACCAAGAGCAAATTTTTTATTATGATAAAAATTAAACTATTGAAGAAGTATTAATTCATTTTATCAAATCCTACAAATAAATATTTAGAGAATTATTTTTATAAAAACAAAACTCTGTAGAATCTAAAATTAAATTAAATTTTATAAAAATTTATTCTATCTCTTGATTATTTGAATTTCTGTTTATTCAACTTAAAACTTCAATATATTTTATCAAATAAAAAATTTATAGTGAAAAGAGGGTGTGGGTGATGATGGAATAGTGTATAACGACACCCACACCCTTTTATTCCAATAAATCTGCGCGAAACATATAATTCAATTAAGAAAATCTTTTGAATCAAAGTTGGAACTACACACAATTCTTCGATATGTTTAATTATAGTAAAATTATATTTATAATCATTCATTTACATATGATAAAACTTTGAGTTATTGTCTATGTTTTATGATATTTTGTAAATGTCAATCATGATACTAGTTTATTTCATTCATTACCTCAACGGAAGGAAGGATGATGTGAAAAAAACACTAGAATGCATTTGTCTATGAATTTCTGAAAGTCAAAGATCAGCCTTTTACCGGGTTGATTCAACCGCATGCAAAAGAAATAACATCTGATTTACAATTATCAATAAATCGTCGCACAGCTATTAATATAAGACTAGTCAAAAAGTAGAGCAATAAATACATATGTATATATCAATATTTTTCATATGTCCAGATAAAAGATAACAGAGAATCTTATATAGACTAGGCGAGGTTGAATGAAAAAAACATAAACATTTATTTTTATTTTTGAATTAGTAAGTCACCCACCACCATATATATATCAAAAAAGATCACACAAAAGAAAAGAAAAAAAAATTAAAGACAAAAATATTATCTTATAAATGTCAAAACACACTCAGCGAGATTACGAAATAATAAAAATGTAGTTGATAGTATTAACAAGTTTCTAGAAGAATTTTTAAGTTATCAGTACATAAGTATATCAAATTGAATATTAGTAATTTATCGATACATATTCGATCAGAGATATGAATAAAGTATCATGTGTATCTAAACTATCAACAATTTCAACAATATTATATAATATAGTCTTATCACTTTCGTTATCTTGTTTAGGGTGTGGCTGTATGGAATTACATTCACATTCACCCACGCCCATCTCTACACTCACATCCATCCAGACCCACATTCTCAAGATGGTTTGGCTTAATTGATACTCGAAGAATCTTTTATTCGCCTATATCTATTGCAAGGATTACAGTGGTTTGAATTTATCTTAAGGGACAAACGGAGAACTCCTTATTCTTTTTTTATTCTGTTCACATGCCTCTCTAAAATAAGCTAAAAATAAAATGATTGGTGAGGACTTTATTTGGAAGAGATTAATTGAAGGGTATTTCTAAAATGAATTGTTATAGAAAATGAGAGAATAATAGTTCAATAAGTGTCTGGTGATAGTCCGCGATCATCATATCTTGCCACTACTTGTTGGATTAGGCGTTGCACTACCGTTTGCGTCACATACGCCAGTGCCACCTATTGGTCCTGTTGGTCCAGTACATCCATATGGTGCCTCGCATTGCGAATTATTGCATTCCAAAGTTCCAGACGTCGCCTGAGATGCACTACCATTGTCCATAGCTGTTGTTAGTAATTAAAATGTACGAAAGGCGATGCCACAGATAAATAATAATGTAAGAAAAAAATTTCTAAAAGAAAGAACAGCAAAAGTGATAAAGAGAATTCCTTCTTTAACTAATCCAGTGATGATGGTGCTTGGATGTCCATAAAGGCTGATTGTCAATTTACCTAAACCCTACTATTCAGTACAACATACAACTAACTGTCTGGACAAAAAAAATAAAACTCATCTCTCTTTCATCGCAAAATACAGTGAATAATAAATAACAGAAGCAGTAATATTTCTCTGTTGTTTGTTGCAAGTTCATTAAAAAGAGCAGACAAACTTCTTCTTGTTCTGTCGAAATCAAAAAGAAACATTGTACATTCAGTACACAGGATATAGGGTAGCCAACAATTTTTCTCTTTTTTGTTTTTCAACTGTCAATAACGCCTCTGAGTGCTGTCTTTGAAATGATTTGAATGTAATCAAAAGAAAGAAATCATTAAAAAGAAAAAAAAGAAAGCGACAGAGAAACACCGCCTTATTAAAAATTGTTTCTCTTATACTACATCAATATTTTCCTCCTATTAAAATAGATCATAGATAGCAGACACTTTTTTCTTCTTTTTCAGCTATTAGTGAGAAACAGTAGAGCCAGCTGGCATACCAAACAAGGTGTGTGTGTAGTTACACGCTATTTCTTTTTTAATTTCTTTCGCCAATGCTTCTGTACTAAAACAGAGTCTTTCTCGCTTTTTTTTGTTATAAAGAACTTTTTCTGTCAATCAGAGACCCCGAATTCGTCTGAAAACTATGTCATACAAAATATAAGTGTGGCGTGTACGTGGATTTGTAGGTGTTGAGGATAAACACAAAGCAGACTCATGCCCACACTCAACGCCGTGCTACCATCATTTAATCATAAAGGAGGTAGTTCAGCAAATTTCTGTGCTGTTTTTTGTATTTATATTATTTTGAACGAACTACATCTATTACCTTGAAAAGAATCAAAAGAAAAAAATTATGAATATTTCTAAAACATTAATAACACTATTATGCGGCATATAATATCTGTTCATTAAAGACATATTCACAATTATAGAGTAATTCTGTCAAATTACAGGATTGTTATAGTTATATCTTGGAAACATGAGAAATTTTCCTTTGTTTCTAATTTTATAAATATGTTCAGTAGCTAACAATACAATCTAAAAGATAAATAATGCATCGAGTAGTAGATTAAATATTTTCATGGATATTATTACTAATATTCAGTTATTTTTTCAAATCTATTGAACAGAATCGATGGTTTACAAGAAGAAAATTATTTTCGATGATAGAAACCTTTAGAAATAAAATCTATTTGAGTCCTTGAATCGACTTCTCAACAATTAAGTCGATTGCTATGATCTTCTAAAAAAAGCCAACTCAAGAATTTGATGAACAAATAGAGAAAAAATGATCAGAAAATATAGCAAGACAAAACGAAAAATATTTATTATATTTCTCTTTTCGCAACTCACTTATTTTCACATGCTTTACTTTCACTGACTGTGTACATACAGACATATAAAAACGAAAAGAAAAGATGACAACGATAATAATCATATATGAAAGTTTGTTTTATTCGTTGTCAATGTATTTTTTTTGTTGATCTTTCTCGCACTTTGTAATTACATTTTTAAAAACATCTAAAAAATGAATACAATCATTTGCCATTAAATAATACTTGTGTCATCAACAAACTCTCTGACCGCGGAATAATTTTGAATTTATAGGAGCCATATGTATACTCTCAATAATGATTTTTTATTTTTACACTTAGGCAAAGAGCGATAAAATGCATAGTATATGAATACAAGCAAAACAACATACGTATAGAATCTATTCTTAATATAAGATATGATGTGATCATTAGTTCTAGAATGTACTCAGAATAATTTATAGTTTAACGAATCCTTCTCAATAGATTTTAATCAAGACATCCGTATAGAATACATAGCTTAATTTAAATACTGTTGATAATATTTTTTTATTAAATCATGTTTATCATAAAGACAAATAAACTAATATATGTGAGTTTTGATGCTAGATTTCTATGTGATTTGTTTGACTTTCTTCATTCTCCATCCACTAATATCAAAGCTTGTGGAATATATATATGTGAAACTATTCTATTTCAATCTTATTTCCATGAATACAAAATCTAATTTTTTTCTGGTTGATTGATCCAGTGTCTGTAGAATGATTAATATATAATTTTCGTCAACCTCATTGATTAAATAACAAGACAATGAATGACAAAGAAAGAACGAAAAAAATAAAATTAACTGAAAAACTTTCATCGACGCAGTGACATAATGAAAGAATTGCGTAGATGTAAATACGACAAACTAGGGTGTGAGTGTAGGTGCGTGTGATCTATGAATAAGTTAACACTCGTCAAAACTTCTACTAAAACATAAATGATAATCTCAATTTACATTCAAGTTACGATAACGATCACATGTAGACTAAGTGACAGTAGCAATCTAACAGAGAAATTATTTCACAGAGCAAAAAAAAGAATCTCAGATACATGCTCATCAGCATTTTTTGCTATACTTTCAAATATATAATGTTAGACTATAAAACACTGAAAGTGTAGATATCCATTCTACTCTTAAATCCACACTCACCCTCAAACCTCAGGATTATTGTCTTAGACATAGGATAAAGTGGATTGATATTTAACTTCTACAAGATCTTCATTCATAGATAAAATAAGTTCAAAAACCTATTTTAATCCAATATATTTTACTTTATACTAAATGTATTATAAATGAAAATTTTCTTAAATTCAATCCTAATTTTTGCACTTTACAAGTTCGTAAGGTCATGTATATGATGTATTAAAAATAATAAAATCTGATGCTTCCTTATTCTTGATGTTATTTTATATGAAAATGTTCATACTTATTAAACCTTGACTTAGAACTCATTTCGATTATCTTTAGATTGATTTCAATTTATCAATATAAATCAAATTCAACTTATAATCGAGCACCATTGATGTTCTAGTTACCCCATTGGTAAAAAAAAATTTCAATACATTTATAATTTGAACTATTATCTTATTGAAATTGAGATGAGAAAGATCTTTTTCTATTTTCGTCTTATTTTTATCAATTCTCATTACTTTTGTTCTCAAATTTTTTCTCGATCGATTGATTGTTAAATCTTAAATGTTTTTCTCCTTTACACTCAAAGAGATAAAAGGTCAAATCGATAAAAAAAAAAAAAGAAAACGTGCAAATAGCTTATAGTTTACCAATAAGTATAAACTATTCTATGGTTGGTATTCAATTAATAGATAGAGTACGTATTATTATGATTTATTGAAAGAAAATATTTTTCTCATCATCGAAATAAAGTCTTAAAGAGAAGAAAAACTCTCTATAAATTTACACCGTTAGAAATACAAACACTTGAGATGTAGTCAAATAAGATAAGATGATTGCTTTTAATTTCATACAGTAAAGACACTTTGGTTTTATCATTTGTACAATTGATAATATCAATGTGTGTATGTGTAAGTGAAGAGAAAAGAAAAGAAAAGAAAAAAAAATTGTTTTTCTTTTCCCTTGATATGAAAGAAAGAAATTGTTCTTTTTTTTATCTAATATTTTAATAATCATTGATTTGACAATGTTAAGCGGTTTCAACTTACTAGAATCTTTTTTTTTTCTTTGTTATTTTCTTTCAAGCGAATCAAGAAAGAAATGATGAAGATTAACATCGAGTATTATCATTGAATAAAATTGAAATCAGATGCGAATGTATATGGCTATGTAAGTCGATCATCTTCTTTTTTTTCTCTCTCCCTCTTTGTGAGACGGTAAGGTAGCAGTAAGCATAGTAATAAATATACTTTCAATATTGTTCGATGCTTATTGTTGTTTAAATTCTATTTTAGATAATTCATTAATGAATTTAAAAATACTTATTTTTCTTTTTTGTTCCAATTTTTTATTACTATATTCAACAACAGGTAATATTAAAAACAAATAAAGAAGATTAATATTGTTGATTTTTTTTCTTGCAAATATTAGATGCTTGTGGTATTAATGAATGGAGATGTGAAACAGGCGGTCGTTGTATTCCATTATCATGGCGTTGTAATCGAGTTGTTGATTGTACGGATTCATCAGATGAACGAAATTGCAGTATGTATAGAACAATATAGAAAAACATATTAAATTTAAATAAATATTTTTCGTAGCTTATTCAAGATGTTTGGATACACAATTTGATTGTGGTGATCGGTGTATACCTCGTTCATGGGTATGTGATGGTGATAATGATTGTGGAAATAATACAGATGAACAAAATTGTCGTATGTTTCATTTTTAAACATTTTTCTTTCCATATTTTCTTATCTCTAGCTCCAAGACGATGTTCAAGTACACAATTTCAATGCAATGATTCACGATGTATTGATGCATCAATGAAATGTGTAGGTTTTTTTTAAAAGACAAATTATATATATATATATATATATATATATATATATTTAATATTTTTAGAATCATGTAAAAGAGTGTACTGATGGTAGTGACGAAGGAACATTTTGCAGTAAATCTTTTTTTCATAGTTTCAGTTGAAGAAATATATAAATTTATTTTTTTAGATTATCGTCAATGTGATTCTTCAACAGAATTTCAATGTGATATACAACGATGTTTACCATTAACACAAAAATGTGATGGTTATTATAATTGTGTTGATCGAACTGATGAATTAAATTGCAGTATATATTTGATATAAATGAAAATTCTATTGATTAATTGACTTTTTTCTTTAGATAGTACTGCATGTCCTACAAATCAATTTCGATGTGTTTCAGATGGTACATGTATACCAAACTATCAACGTTGTGATTTTCGTTCACAATGTAGTGATGGATCCGATGAAGCAAATTGCAGTAAATAGAAGAATACAAAAAAATCATTTTAGATAAAAAAGATAATTCTTTTCATTTCTAGCACGACCAAATTGTACACTAGGTCAATTTCGATGTTCTAATGGAAGATGTATTCCATCATCATGGGTTTGTGGTAAGTTATTTTTAAGAAAACAGAAAAAATGAAATTTGAAATTTTGTCATTTTCATAAATTAGATGGTGATGATGATTGTTCTGATCGAAGTGATGAAGTGCATTGTAGTTCAAGACAATGTCCACCACATATGTATCCATGTAATGTTACTGGGCAATGTATTGATATAACAAAAGTTTGTAATGGTCAAAAAGATTGTGTAGATGGTACAGATGAAAGCTCACAATGTGGTAAGTAATATTTATACAGTTATTATAGCTTTTGATGATGTATCATCATGTAAATTAAGAAGACGACATATTTCTCTTGGTTTTGCATCAGTTTCATTCGTATGAAAATCGATTATTTCATATGAAATATCTTGTACTTCAATTTGAAAAAGATTAAATGAATACCAAAGATAATAAATAGCTATCATTGATAATAATGACCAGAGAACAATAAATATTAGACTAAATAGATTTATATATGTAAGTGAAGGAGTAAAATCTTGAATATTCATCTGTCTTTGTGTATGGCGCGTAGATATTAATTGATTGATTTGTTAAAAAAAACAGGTAGTCAACTTTGTGGTTTTTTATCCTGTGAACATGCATGTCGTCCAACACCAGATGGTCGTGGTAAATGTTATTGTCCAGTTGGATTTCAAATTAATCCAACAAATAATCGATCTTGTATTGGTAAGAAAATACATTTTTATATTGAATAAAGAAATATTCTATTGAAATCAGATGTTAATGAATGTGAAATATGGGATGAATGTGATCAAGATTGTCAAAATACAATTGGATCGTATGTTGAATATTTTTCTTTGTCAATATATTTCTATTTAAAAATATAGATATGCATGTACTTGTCGAGCAAATTATACACTTGAATCAAATAATCGATGCAAACATATTAATAGTAAATTTTTCTTATTGAATATAATTATTAAGAAATTATTTTCTTATAATTAGGTGATAATATGAAAATGTTTGTATCAATAGCAAATAAAATTTATGAAATTGATCGAATTGGTAATGCTCGAATAATCTATACTGGTCCAGAAAATATGACTATACGAGCAATTGATTATCATTATAAAAATCAAACGCTTTATTTTATTGATCCATATGCAGATAAAATCTATTCATTATTATTATCTTCTCTATCATTACCAGCAAGAGTTGTTCTTGAAAAAAATATTCTTGTACCAACATCAATTGCGATTGATTGGATAACAAATAAATTATATGTTGTTGAATATATTTTATCACGTATTGATATGTTTTCATTAGATGGAAAAGCAATGAAAACGAATATAGTTACGAATAATATTCATCGTCCAACATCCATAGCTATTGATCCTATTGCTGAATATTTATTTTTTGCTGATGAAGGTAATTGGAATCAAATACCAGCAAAAATATTTCGATGTCTTCTTGATGGTTCACGATGTACATCATTAGTTAACCAAAAATTAGACCAACCAAGTGATTTAACAGTTGATTTTATTAAACAAAGACTCTATTGGGTTGATCAAGTTTATGATCATGTTGAAAGTTGTGATTATCATGGAGCACGAAGGTAAAAAATTCAGTCTTTAATATACTGACTTTTTTATGATTATCTTTTAGAATAACAATAACATCGGGTAGTCAAAATATTCCTCATTCAGTTGGAATTGATTTATTTGAAAGCAATCTCTATTTAAATGATGATATGAAAGGTGCAGTATTACAACTTCGACGACATTTTAATTCTAATGTAACATATTTCTATAAACCTCAATCATTCATACGACCACGAGGAATAGCTATTTATCATGAAACACGACAACCATATAGAAATGATCCATGTAATGGAACATATAATGGTGGTTGTGAACATTTATGTTTACTTGGACGAGGTAGTTTATTAGCAAATAGTTATCAATGTCGATGTCAATCAGGTTTTCGATTAAAATCCGATTTAAAATCATGTGAACGTAAGATAAAAATAAATTCATTTTCTTCAATCGAAACCTAATTTTTTTGAAAATATTTAGCGGTGAAAGAATTTCTTCTTTTAACACGTTTAATTTCTATTCGTGCCATTGATTTTAATCGTGATTCAAATATTGAAGCACGACCACCAATTGTACCTGATCGACAAACTACTATCTTAGATTCTGCATTTGATTATAGACAAAATATTGTATATTTTTATTCTGCAAGAAATCGTATGATTTATTCATCAACAATAAATGGTGAAAGTAAGTTGTTTCTTTTATCTAAATAGGATTTTATATTTTGAATGTAAATTATAGAATCAGTACCAATAACAACATCAAAAGTATTTCCACTCGTCACTGCTATGGCATATGATTGGTATTCAAAATTACTCTATATGACATCAACTGCAGAACGTCAAATATTTGTTGTTCGAATGAATTCAATAGATTATCCACAACGTATTCTTGTTAATGATACCGTTAGTATACATGGTATTGCTGTAGATCCATCACAAGGGTATGTAAAAACACATTTTATTATAGATCTAAACTAATATTTAATATAGATATGTTTTCTATTCAACAATTAATCGTCCAGCAAAAATCTATCGTATGTTAGCAGATGGAACAGATCGTCGAGTCATTGTTCCGAATGAATTGGGTACACCTTATCATTTAACATGTGATTATATAACAAAACGTCTTTATTGGACTGATGGTGCACTATCACGTATTCAATATTCAGATTATAATGGTCAGAATATCCTATCATTACGAGGACGATCAATTTCACATCCATTTGGAATTGCAATATACGGATGTATGAAATTATCTTATCAATCAAAATATTTGAATTAAAAATTTTGTTTTAGCTCGTCTGTATTTTACTGATGCGACATTGGAAAGTGTATTTGAAAGTAGTAAAACATATAGTGGATATGCATCGGCTATTCGATCGAATATTCCAGCGATTACAACAGTTCATGTATTTTCAGAATCATCTCAACCATTAAATAGTACGAAAAATAAAATAGAATGTAGAAATAAATTTCATTATTTTTTATTAATTATAGTTACACATCCATGTTGGGCAAGTAATGGTGAATGTTCAGATTTTTGTTTTCCAAAACTAGAACAAGGTACTTTAACACGAATATGTGGTTGTCGTTATGGTCGAAAATTAAATTCAGCAAATAATCGTGAATGTATTGATAATTCTCAAGAAGAACCAGATCAAACATCATGTGTTGGACGATATCAATGTCGAAATGGTCGATGCATCCCATCGAATTATAGATGTGATGGAGGTTAATTATTAAAAATAATAATAATAGTGAAGAATTCGTTTGATTTTTTTTTGTTTTTAACAGAAGATGATTGTTATGATAATAGTGATGAACAAAATTGTCCAGGTAAAGACAATAAGTTAAAATTGCCTTTTTTTGTATTTTGATAAATTTTTGAATATAGCTGGGACACCTCAATGTAGAACAAATCAATTTCAATGTCGAAGTACTGGTGTTTGTATAAATAATCAACTTGTTTGTGATGGTTATCCTCATTGTCAAGATCGATCGGATGAATCAAATTGCAGTAAGATAAAAACATTCATAATTCTGTTGTCTATATAAAAAATGTTTTATCATTAAAGGTCAAACTTGTTCAGAAAATCAATTTCGTTGTGCAACAGGAAAATGTATTCCTAAATCATGGATATGTGATAATCGTAAAAAGAAATTTTTTTTGTATTAAAATTTATTATTTATTCATTCATTCATTCTTTGTATAGAAAATGATTGTGGTGATTCAAGTGATGAACAAAATTGTCATGGTAAATAGAATAAATTTTATTTTGAAATAATTTCTGATTGACATATAGAAAGAACATGTGATCCATTAACACAATTTACATGTCCTCATACACCGGGAATGTGCATTCCGACGGGTATGTTAATATAAAAATTTCATTTTATTTTCTTAATTCAATTCTATTTTATAGCATGGAGATGTGATGGACAAAATGGTAAGAATTAAAACTTTCGGATTACGAATATATATCTCTTTTTTTTCCTTTAAATTTGTTAGATTGTGGTGATAATGCAGATGGTTAGTTAATACAAAAGAAATAGATTTGTTCTTTGAATTTTTTTTTTATAAAATTCTATATTTCTAGAACTTAATTGTCCACCAATTTCATGTGGTGCTGGACAATTCTTATGTTCACGTGATCGTCGTTGTATAAATGCAACACGTCGATGTGATGGTATTGCAGGTATGTGAATTTTCTTATTAAGAATAATTATAAATAATTGAAATAATTTGTGAAGATTGTCAAACAATGGAAGATGAACAAAATTGTTCGGGCTCAACACCATCCTATTGTCGAGCAGACCAGTTTCGTTGTGGAGCAACATGTATACCAAATGTATGTTGAATAATTAGAATATAAATTTATAAATAGATATTATCGTTTTATAATTAATAGGCTTGGCGTTGTGATGGTCATCGAGGTACGAAATATTTAAAAAAATTATAAATCTATTGAAATTAATTTATTTAGATTGTGCTGATGGATCTGATGAACCATCAACTTGTGGTCAGTGTGATTCTTTTTTCTAGAATATATATAGTCTATGATATTGATTGTAGGTGCACGAAATTGTACATCAACAGAATTTCGTTGTGTAACGTCGAGTGAATGCATTCCCGAAGCATGGGTGTGCGATCATGAAGTAAGAAGCATTTAATTTTTTTATTAGATATAAATTACATAATTTTCTTAAGGATGACTGTGAAGATGGATCAGATGAACAAACACCACAATGTCGTGAGTATTCATTGTTCCTGTTTTATATATAAGTTTATAATTTTTAATATATTAAATAGAAGCTACAACTTTTTCTTGTCCGGACAATCAAATGCCATGTCCTGATACAACAATTCATCAATGTGTAAATATTTCACAAGTTTGTGATGGGTATTTACTTAGTCAATTTTTTCATATATAAATCTTAATAAATTATCTTTAAAAGTAAACTTGATTGTCCTGGTGGCGGTGATGAATCTCCATTATGTAATAGCGATCAATGTTCAATTAATAATGGTGGTTGTAGTCATCGATGTCATGCATCACCATTTGGTGTTCTTTGTCTTTGTGAACCTGGTTTTCATGTAAAAAATACAACAAATTATAAGAAATGCGAAGGTAATAAATAAAAAATAAAAACTATGAAAATTAATATTATTAATTTATTTAGATATTGATGAATGTGAAGAAGATCCGTATACATGTCATCAACATTGTTTAAATACAAATGGAAGTTTTATATGTGGTTGTGATGATGGATTTATTTTACAAACAGATGGACGAAGTTGTAAAATTATAAGTAAGTTGTTGATATAAATGATAATAAAATAATGTTTATTTTTATTATATTTAGATGAAACTGGTATTCGTCTATTAGTAGCCTTTGGTCCTACAATGGCATGGGCATCACCAACAATGCAAACCTATGGTCGACTGAATCTTGGTCCTGATATGCGTTATTTACCTGCATTTGATATTGATAATCGAACAAATACATATTTCTGGTCTGATTTAGCAGCAAATACAATCTATAGTCGTACTCCACAAGCAAGAAATTATACTAAAGTAAATAAATTTATTTAACAAACAAAAAATATTTGTTAATTTTCTTTAGATTATTTCAAGTGGTAATAGTTATATAGCTGGTATTGCATTTGATTGGATTGGACGTAATTTATATTGGACAGATTATATTCTTGAACATGTTGAAGTATCAACAATGGATGGTCGTCATCGTCGAATATTATTTCATGAAAATCTAACAAATCCATGGGCAATTGCTGTTGATCCACGTGCTGGTGTACGATTTTTATTTCTGACTGATTGGGGTAAAAATCCTCGTATTGAACGTTGTAGTATGGATGGTCAACAGCGTATAACTATTGTCAATGATTCAATTCAAATGCCATTTGGTTTAACACTTGATTTAATACGTGAAGAAGTTTATTTTACTGATCGTCATTTAAATTATATTGAAGTTGTAAATTATAATGGTGAAAATCGACGAAAAATTTTATCAAATACACATTTTCTTCATGCACCAACATCTATAACACTTTTTGAAAATTATCTTTATTGGTTTGATTCAAATTCAAATGAAGTTAGACGTTTAAATCGTTTTGAACATGGTATTAAAGCACAAAGACATGAAAGAATATTATCACGAGCAGGAATAAATCATATGAAAATATCACATCAAATTTATCAACCATTAGGTAACAAATATTTTAGAATAAAATTATAAAAATATTTAAGATATTTTAAAATAGAATCAAATCCATGTCAACAATCTCGTTGTACACAATTATGTCTTCTTTCTCATAATACAACAACAGGTTATAAATGTGCTTGTTCAACTGGTTTCTATCTTGAACAAGATCAATTTACATGTTCAAAAGATTATTCACCATTTGTTATTTATATGAAACGTAATACTATTGGTGGAATAAGTATTAAACATGATCAACAATATATTGATGAAAATTCAAATTATGATGATTTATGGGAACGTTTTGTTACTATAACAGATATTCGTAATGGTTATGAATTTGCATTTGATGAAATTAATGAAACTATCTATTGGGCACAAATTAAACGTTACTTAACCGATGGAACACCTTCTGTAAGAAAAATATTTTCATTATATGATATAATAGTACTTTTCTCTGTTCTAGTATGAAATTCGTCGAATTAGTTTCGATGGTACGAATGAAACTGTTTTTTATGGTGATGATGAAATATTAGTTGGTATGGAAGCTGGTACTATGCAAGTCGATGCAGTTGGACGGTAAAATATATCATTAAATATAATGCTTTTCTTAATCGTTTATCTTTGTAGTAATCTATTTATTGCAAATATCCGTCATAGTCGTATTGATGCTATATCACTTGATAGTCAATATCATACAATTGTATATAGTAATCATGAAAATGAAACTGGTATTACACGACCAACTGCTCTTGATCTTGATACAATAAATGGGTAAAAACAAAATCTTTTTTCTATTTTGCTAACATTTTTAGCTGATATTTTGTTTAGTTATGTTTATTGGGTTGATCTAGGTGGTGGAGTAATTCCAATGAAAATAGCTCGTGTTCGTTTCGATGGAAAATATCCTGAAAATATTATTACTGAAAATCTTTTACAACCAAATTATTTAGTTTATAATCTTGACCTTCATTGTGTTTTTTGGAGTGATATTGGTTTACAAAAAGTAAAGAAAAGAATTTTACATATTTTTTTAATTTATATTATTTTAGATCTCATATCATTGTATGGATTCAGGTGATACAAAAGTTCTTGATGTTGAAGTAAATCATCCACGTGGTTTTGATCTTCTTACTCATACACTTCCGCAAACATCATCTGTACAAATGAATGAAAATGATGATATATCATATACACATTTTTCATTATTTTTTGTTGATAAAGATTTAGAAGGTGTTTATAAAAAATGGTTTGATCATAATTTAAATCCTATAAGTGATGTTATTTCTGTACGAACAAATCAAGATAATCCATTACAAGTTCGCGTATATCCACGTTATGAAGGTAATTAAAATTTGACTTTATTAATTATTAAAAATTTTCATATGATTATTTAGCTTTAAATGCATATTGTTATTATGGTTCTTATTGTGAACAAATTTGTTTTCAAATTGATTCAAATAACCGTAATGCTCCAATATGTGATTGTGCAATTGGATATAAATTAAATAGCGATGGACGAACATGTACACCTAAAAGTCAACAATATATTATTTATAGTACACATGCATTACTTCGAGCATTTGATTATCGATCAAATGATTCAGCAAGAGAAGATGTTATGCCATTGATTGCTGGTAAGATTTTCTAAAATTTAGATCTATGACTATCTAAGATAGACTTTCTTTTGGTTTTGTTTCTAGGTAATAATATGGAAATGCTTTCTGTTCGATATTCAACTCGTGAATTATACTGGATAAATGCCAATCGAATAATACGTCGTGCTATATGGACAAATAATCGAACATGGAATGTAACTAGTTATCTTCAAATAAGTGTTGGAGCTGAACAAAATATTATTCTTGGTCTTACACTTGACTGGATAGCTGGCAATTTATATTTTTCTTATATATCAAATACCTATGGTCATCTAGAAGTTAATCGACTTGGTACAGATCATCGATTAACTTTACGAAAAGGTAAAAATGAAACGATCTATTCTCTTGCTGTTAATCCAAAACGAAGGTAAAAAACCAAGATAAAACCAATAAATAAATTATTTTTTTCTCTTCTTCATAGATTTCTCTATTGGTGTGATCGTGGTCCACGTGTTCGTATAAGTCGTTCATTACTCAATGGTGAAAATGTAACATATCTTGTAACAACACTAATTATTCGACCTGAAGCAATAACAATTGATTATCTTACTGATGATATTTATTGGTCAGATTCAATACGTGATACTGTTGAAGTTATATCTTGGGATGGAAAAAATCGTCGTACAGTTTCACGTAATATTCCAAAAGCTATTAGTTTACTTATTGCGAATAATGATTTATATATCATGGATCGAGCTTTTTCATCGGTAAGATAATTTTTTTATTTTATTTTGAAAAAAATTAAATAAATCTTATTTTATTATTAAAAGATAATGCGTATTAATAAAACGGTTACTAATATAACACAACGTTTAGAATCAATATTAACATTAAAAACTTATGAAGTTGGTGGTATGGTATTATTTGATGAACAGCCAATTTATGAATCTCCATGTCAAACATCAACAATTCGACAACGTTTTTGTGAAGATCTTTGTTTTGCTATACCTGGTTCGAGTGTTCCACAATGTGCATGTGCATATGGAACATTAAGTAGTGATCAACGAACCTGTACACGTAAGAATTTTCTTTTTTTGTTTGATTTGATTTGATTTTTCTGTTCTTCTTTTAGCACCAAATGAATATTTACTTGTTGCAATGGAAAAAGAAATTCGTTCAATGTCAATGCAACCACATGGTCTAGGGACAAGTGCACCATGGCGATCAATAATGAATTTAAGTTTAGCTGTTGGAATTGATTTCGATTATCGTGATAAGAAAATATTCTATACGTAAAGAAATTCTTTTAGTTGAACTATTATTTTCTATTTATGAATGTATTTAAAGGGATCTTGGACCACAAGATATATTTTCATTTGATATGGATGATCCGAATCCACATGCTCGACAATTAGTACAATCGAATGTTACTGGTAAAAGACATGAATTTTAAGATCAAGAAAAAATAAATTTTTCTGTTAAGGACGTTCACGACCAGTGGGTATTGCATATGATTGGGTATCAGATCGTTTATATTGGACTGATGAAACATATGGAAGAATAATATCTGCAAAACAAAATGGTTCAGAAAGACTTATTGTAGCAGCTAGTTCCCGTCCAAGAGCAATTGCTGTTCATCCATGTAAAGGGTATGTTTAAATATTTTCAAAAAAATACAAAAAAACTATATTTTTTCTTTTTTTTATTCAATAAAGATTATTATTCTGGTCAGATACTGGAGTATATCCATCCATTCGTCGTTCAACATTAACTGGAAGACAAGTCGCTTATTTAATTACGACTAATATTCGATGGCCAAATGGTTTAACAATAGACTTTGATGATGATAGAATTTATTGGGCAGATGCATGGTTGTATGTATTCATTTTATTTTTCACAAATTATGTATATATGATTAATTTAGTGATCGTATTGAACGTGCATCCTTGGATGGTACAAATCGAGAAGTTATTTCAACAGTTGTTCATCCATTTGCATTAACTGTTCATGGACATTATATATATTGGACTGATTGGTCTTTTCGTAAATTATATCATTAAAAATTATTTTCTAATGAAAATATGTTTTTCTTCCGGTTTATTTAGGTGGTATTTATCGTGCAGAAAAATATTCTGGTGCTAATATGGTTGAAATGCAAAATAATCTTCCATATCGTCCAATGGATATTCATGTTGTATCTGATCAACGTCAAAAATGTTCATATTCACCATGTAATATAAGTAATGGTGGTTGTAGTCATATATGTAAAACTGGACTTAATAATCAAGTTGAATGTGCTTGTCCAAGTGGACAACAATTAAAATTAGCAAATGATCAACGAATGTGTGTTCGTACGTAAAACAAAAAGTCTTATTTGATATATTGATTTTGTTGTGTTTTTTTTTAGCAATATCATCATCATGTGTATCCGTTAATTTTACTTGTCGAAATGGACAATGTATTTCACGAAGAAAAGTTTGTGATAGTCAAGCGGATTGTAGAGATAATTCAGATGAAGATACAAGATTTTGTTGTAAGATAATAATATCTATTTATCAAAATGAATCTAATAATAATCTTTGTTAGCACAATATAATTGTCGACCAACTGAATATCGATGTTTAAGTGGTGGTTGTATTCCATATATTGAAAGATGTGATCGAAAATTAGATTGTAATGATGGTAGTGATGAAAATAATCCATTTCAACCATGTGTATATCCACAATGTCCAGAAGGACAATTTACTTGCAGTAATTTTCGTTGTATCGATAATTTCAAACGTTGTAATGGTATGTATTATCTTGATAGAAATAGATTCAAAGTTTTCTATTAAATTTAATTTTTTTGAAATATAGGATATGATGATTGTTTTGATGGAAATGCAACAGATGAAGTTAATTGTCCATCTCGTGTTTGTAATGGAACAAATAGTATGAAATGTCCAAATAATAATATTTGTATTCAAAAAACTTATCTATGCGGTAAGATAGACCAAAAGAAAATCTAATTTCTAATTATTTGCTAAATAGATGGTGATAATGATTGTGGTGATAATAGTGATGAAAGTCCAATTTTTTGTCATAGTATTCAATGCAATACAAGTATGAATAGAATTTATAATTTTATAAGATTTATTTCTTTATCTGTAAATTAGCGGAATTTCGATGTGGCAATGGTCGTTGTATACCATACTCTTGGGTATGTAATGGTCGACGAGATTGTGCAGATAGTACAGATGAACCACCTGATTGTCGTGCATCAAATCGAACATGTCCAACTGGACTTTGGAAATGTGATAATGGTCGATGTATCAGTCCCGATCAACGATGTAATGGTATTGATGATTGCCGGTAAATTTTAATCGAAAAAAAAACCTATTTTCTTTAAAATATTTTCTTTCTGTTTATATAGAGATGGTAGTGATGAAGATGAACGACATAATTGCGGTTTGAATTATTAATTTTCAGTAAAGAAAATTATGAATATTTTTTTAGCTGAAATGCCATGTCGTTCAACACAATTTCGTTGTCCGACAGGTTTAAAAAATAATCCACGTTTAAGTTGTCTTGATCAATCAGCTGTTTGTAATGGAGTTGCGAATTGTATGCGTGGAGAAGATGAAGCAAATTGTACAAGACGTAATTGTTCATCACTTCAGTATGTTTATATTTTAAATAAATTCGAAATACATATTTACAATATAACAATCTATTTAGATTTCAATGTGCGAATGGTCTCTGTATACCACGCTCATATGTTTGTGGTATGTAATTTTCTTTGATAAAAGAAAACGAGAAATTAATTATTTCTTTCTAAATTTATTTAGATCATGATAATGATTGTGGTTTGTATATTTTAGTTGACACTTTTTATAATAATTAATTGAGAATTATTTTAGGAGATGCATCAGATGAACCTGCATCATGTGGTAAGAATAAATAAGGTTTTTAATTCGTTTACTTTTTTTTGTTTTGAAATAGCATCACAATATCGAAATTGTAGTAGTACAGAATATCGATGTGAAAATGGTCGATGTATATCGAAATTAGCAACATGTAATGGATAGTAAGTCCTATATATTTGTGATTTATAAAATGAAAATTAATTCTTATTTAGTAATGATTGTCATGATAATTCTGATGAAAAACCATCCTTATGTCAAGCAGAACAATGTCCAAATGGACAATTTCAATGTCGAAATAAACAATGTATACCATATGAAGTTGTTTGTAATGGTGTACGAAATTGTACGGATGGAAGTGATGAACCTGCTAGTTGTGGTGAGAGAAAAACAAATCGATGTCTTATTTTTATTTATTTTATTTGAATAGGAGTTAATGAATGTGCTTCATCAATATTAAGTGGTTGTGAACATGGTTGTATTAATACATTAACTTCATTTCGATGTACATGTCGTCCGGGTTATAAACTAGCACCAAATAACAAAAATTGTTGGGGTAAGAATTTAAACTATATCGATTTCGTCTATTTTAAAATATTTTTTCTTCTTTATTAATATTTAGATATTAATGAATGTGTTGACACTCCAAGTGTTTGTCAACAATTTTGTGAAAATACTCCAGGTATTTAAAACATTATATTTTCTTTCTATTATTATTATTATTATTAGGTTCTTACATATGTAAATGTGCATCTGGTTATGAAAAAGATCTTAGTGGTCGTAAATGTTATCGAACAAATCGTAAAATTCTATTTTTTTCTTCATTCTTATTGAATAATTTAATATTTTTCTTTAGAAACCATTGTACCACATATATTTTATACAAATAAATATTATGTTCGTGGAATAGATCTTGATGAACAAACTGAAATGACTATTGCTAGTGGTTTTATGGAACTATCAAGTGTAGCATATGATTGGAAAGATCGAAAATTATATGTTGGTGATGATGTTGCTACTAAAATCTATCGAATGAATTTAAATGGTACACAATCAACTGTTTTAAAACAAGGAAATCATATACGTAGTCTTCGAGCATTATCTATTGATTGGATTGGAAGAAAATTATATCAGTTATTAGGTATACCGGAACTTCGTGTTTGTGAATTAGATGGTCGTTATGAAATAACATTACTGAATTCAAGATATTTATCTCAACCAAATTATCTTTCTATTGATCCATTAGTTGGTTATTTATTTTATTCAGATTGGGGTCAACCACATATTGGAAGAATTAATTTAGATGGAAGTAATTTTGTTAAAATTATTGGTACAGATATAGCTGGACCATTAGGTTTAACAGTTGATATTATAACTCAAAGAATTTTTTGGATTGATAGACCTTTACAAAGATTAGAGTATGTTTCACAAAAAAAAACAATTTTGTATATCATAATTTTTTCTTTTATATGTATATAGATTCAGTAATTATAATGGTGGACAACGTAAAACAGCATTTTCTGGTCATGATTATGTTCCATATTCGCTTAGTATTGCATTTATTGATGGTTATATTATTTGGTCTGATATTACCAATCATTCATTAATAGCTGCTGATGCATTGAATGGTTCGAATAAACATGTTGTTGTACCAAATACAATAAATGAAGTCGTTGCTGTTACTATAATTCATCCATCATTACAACCACAAAGTAGAATAGAAAAATAAAAAAAAACGATCATATAAAATCTCTTTTATCTTTTTAGTTCCTAATCCATGTGGAAGAAACAATGGTGGTTGTTCACATTTATGTTTATTATCAACAAATCAATCTTATACATGTGCATGTCCTGAACATTTTTCATTTCTTAATAATGGAAATAATCGAACATGTGTATCGAATTGTAGTTGTAATCAACATCGTTGTGGTCCACCAAATGAACGATGTATTCCATGGTCAGCAAAATGTAATGGAGGTAAGATTTATCTTTTTCGAATTAGGTTTGTTTTTGTATTTTAAAGATTCGATGAATATTTTTAGTACGTGATTGTGAGGATGGATCTGATGAACCAAGCACATGTCCACAAAGACGATGTACAGCAAATCAATTTCAATGTCGAAATCAAAATTGTACATCAATTTCATTTGTTTGTGATGGTAATGAAACTACGCGTTTATTTTTTGATTTTATGAAAATTATTTGTTTTTTGTTTAATAGGAACGAATGATTGTGGTGATAGTTCAGGTAAACATTCAATTTATAGAAAAATAAAATTTAAATCTATTCAAATATTTAGATGAAGAAAATTGTGAATGTCGTTGTATGCCAGGAACATTTCGATGTAATTCTGGTCTATGTTTATCAATGGTTATTATTGAAATTAAAAAAATAAATAGAATAAATTATGATAATATTTTTCTAGAGATTTCGTTGTGATGGTTTTCGACAATGTTCTGATGGTAGTGATGAATTAGATTGTGGTAATCGTACATGTTCACATCATCAATTTACATGTACTAATGGTCGATGTATACCAGCATCATATGAATGTGATCTAGATAATGATTGTGGAGATAATAGCGATGAAAATGCTTATTTCTGTCGTAAGTTATTATATAGAATATATTAGGAAAAAAAATGTTTTTTTATTTGAAAGGCAATCGACCATGTCGTCCTGATCAAGTTCGTTGTCCAAATTCTTATAAATGTATTCCAAATGCAGCACGTTGTAATGGAAGAAATGATTGTGGAGATAATAGTGATGAAAATCCAAATCAATGTCCGGCATGTAATGATGCAAATCATTTTCGTTGTAATAATGGACAATGTATTATAAGAAGTTTTCGATGGTAAAATATATTTTATCACAAAACAAGATATTTGTTTTGTACTCTCTCATATTTGATATCAATATACTGACTACTAAGAAGCAAAAAAAGTTGATTTCTATATTAAATAGTTGGAAAGCGCTGATTTATTTCTTCATAGTATTAAGCCTTGATTATGAAAATATATTATTTATTTAGTAATCATCGAAATGATTGTCGTGATGGATCTGATGAAAATCCAGCCACATGCGGTAAGTTATTGTGGAAGAATTCTTTTCTTATTAATTTATATGTATTTTTTAGTTTATCGAGAATGTAGTGAAGATGAATTTCGTTGTTCGAATGGTCGATGTCTTCCTCAACGATGGTTAGAAATAAAAATTTCAAAATGAATTCTCTAAACATTTAGTAATATTTGTTTCTTTCAGGGTATGTGATGGTGATAATGATTGTGGTGCTGGTGATACATCAGATGAAACAGCTGACTGCGGTTAGTTCTTTATTAATATATAAGGAAGACTTCTTGTCGAGAAAAAAAAACGTAATTATTTTTAGCTTCTCGACCTTGCCCCGATGGTAAATTTAAATGTGCATCTGGTCATTGTATTAGTAATACAAGCCGTTGTGATGGATATCCACAATGTCGTGATGGTTCAGATGAGGCAGGCTGTCCGCCACGTTATCCAGATGGTCAATATTGTCCAGCAGATCGTTTTACTTGTAACAATACACTTTGTATTAATAAAAATTGGGTTTGTGATGGAGGTAAAATTCAGTATTTTTCCTTATTAAATAATATAAAATTCTTCTTTATATTTAAGATAATGATTGTCGTGATAATAGGTAATTAAAAAGAAAAATAGTAGAAATTATTATTCATCTTTTTGTTTAGTGATGAAACACTTGAATTATGTCGAACAGTACCTTGTAATACAACAAATCATTTTCGGTATTAAAAATAATTTTTCTTTCATAGACAAAATATATATATATCGGTAATATTTCTTTAGATGTACAAATGGTCGATGTATCTATCGATGGCGTCTATGTGATCATATTGATCATTGTGGTGATGGCAGTGATGAAGATATACATGGTGTATGTCAAACAAGAAATCAACCATTAACATGTCCACAATATCATTGTCCTCATACAAATCGTTGTATACGATTTACAGATCTATGTGATGAATGTAAATAGAAAAGACAAAATAAATATGAAATAAAACAAAAAATTCATTTAATTATTTAGATGATGATTGTGGTGATGAATCCGATGAATTATCCTGTCATCATAATACAACAATAACATGTGCAAATCAAACAAATCATTGTGAACAACGATGTCATGATTTACCAAATGGTCGAGGAATTGTTTGTTCATGTCAATCAGGTTATAAGATTAATAAAGAATCTTTAAAATGTGAAGATATTGATGAATGTCAAAATTTAACATTAAATTATTGTTCACAAATATGTATTAATACAAAAGGTAGTTATCGCTGTGAATGTGCATCTGGTTTTGAACCAAGTGCTGTTAATAGATCAGATTGTCAACCAACAGGTAAAAGTTCCTATGAAGAAAATATGAAGTCATATTAATTTAAATATATTTTATTTTTCTATAGATCAAACTTTCGATATTCTTATATCAGAACCTGAAGAAATTGTTCGTCTTCGTCGAAATTTACTTGAAAATGCAAATCATTATGGTGTTCTCGTTGAAGATCAACATAGTGCTGGTTTTATGTCTATTGATTCAAATAATCGTATAGTCTATTGGATGGATGAATCAAATTCCGAAGTTTATCGTGCTCATCTTATACCAAGTACAATATCAACAACATTTCCTCAAGAACTTTTATTTGAAGATACTGATCATACAATAATGCCAACAAGTTTATCTATTGATTGGATTGCTCAAAATCTTTATATAACTGATGCTATTCATGGTTGTATATGGGTTATGAAAAATGATGGACGTTATGCAACAAAATTAATAACAGATATTGAATCTCCATGGATTGTTACAGTTAATCCAATTCTTGGAATAATTTATTTTATTAATTTTAAACATGACATACGTGAAAATTCTACAGACTATGATGTTACAATTGAATCAGCTTATATGAATGGAGAAAATCGTACAATATTAATTGATACGGATATTATTTATCCAACTGATTTAATAATTGATTTCTATCAAAATTATCGTGTTTATTGGACTGATGAAAAGAAAGAATCTATTGAATCAATGAATTATGATGGAACAGATCGATTAACTATAGCACATATTGGTATTCATGCACCACATTCATTAGATATATTTGGTAGTCAATTATATTGGATTAATCGGGAAAATCGTTCAGTTTATACAATTGAAAAATTTGGTCGTGGTCTTTCAACACTTGTACTTGATAATTTAGAATCACCTCTATTCGTAAGAATTCATCATCCATTAAAACAAATTCAAACAGGTTTCAAACTAAAAGAAAATTTTTGAAAATTTTTATCTACTTATGTATTTTAGTATCAAATCCATGTTCAACTGCTAATTGTTCACATTTATGTGTTTTAAAACCATCAAATCAATATCAATGTTTATGTCCACTTGATACAACATTACAAGAAGATAGTCAAACATGTGATGCTCGTATGTATATGAAATTTTAAAATATATATGAATATTTTGTTTTTGTTATTGTCTTGAAGCTATTGTTTCTGAACTTCCAAGTATGGTACAATGCCATTGTTTACATGGTAAATGTATTTATCGTTCTGATCGTACTAATAATGATCAATTAATGGGTTGTGTTTGTTTACCTGGTAAATAGAATAAATATATGAGAATTATATATATATATATAAATTTTTCTGATAGGTTATGCGGGTCAGTATTGTGATAGACGAAGTATCATTAATGTAATTAATGAACATAAATATAAAATTCTTATTATTGGATTAATTAGTTTATTATTGATTGGTATTCTTGGTATTGGTCTTATGCAATTCAGACGTAGACAAAAGTTAGTTTAAAGAATTATTAAGATTTCTAGAAAAATATATACTACTCAGGACGATAGATTAATGAAAATGCTGACAAGATTAAAGGAACTTTTCGAGATTTTAATAGCATCTTTATATGATAAGATTATGATGAAACATTGAGATTACTGCCATTATAAAAACTTGAAATACATTTAAATTCGATAGAAATTTTTTGTTAAATAATTTAGATCTAAAATTTTTATTGAGAAATTATTTCATTTTTTAGTTTACAACCAATGCCAAGTATACCATTACCTACAAATGTTCGATCAGCATTAAATAATTTCCGTAATTTTATTACACGTTCAACAGATAATATTAATATAGTACGATTTCGAAATGCTCGACCGAACACAACAAGTACTACATCAACAATGGTAAATTAAAAAAAAACTAGATATGGTTTTCGTTTTGAAGACGTTTTTCATTTCTAGGAATCACCACCGGTATTTTCTAATCCGATGTTTAATGCAACAACATCATCTAAACAATCATCCGTATCGAATGAACCAGCTAAATTAAATGTAGAACTTCTTCCACCTCCATCAAAACCAAATCGAAAAAGTTTATATAGTTTTCTTCTAGAATATAAATCTTTAAAATGATTTCTTTGTTTATATAGATGCTCCACCGTCTCCTCTATCTCAACAACAACAATTCGATCCTCAAGGCAAAGAAACTGATCATGATAAAGCCAGTTTAGTTGTACGAAGCAGCGGTAGCAATGCATGAGAATTATTCTTTTCCTTCTTCTTTTTTTTCTTTATCATGTATATCTATCTAATTGTTATAGTATATAACCACTTAAATTTTCATTTTTATCATTTGAATGATTTTGTTGTATTACTTCATGTAATGTTAAGGAAAGAAAACCAAAATAAATACTAACAAAAGCATATGAACATAAGATGGATAAATGAGATGATGATTAATAAATAAAATAAGTCACAATTAGATTTTACTAATTTATTTATCTCGAAAAAAATCTTAAAAATCATAACAAATATATCTGTTTTTTAAGAAATTTCGAGTATAACAACAAATTTTTGTTAACATATAACCATTTTATTCAGATAATCGAAATACATTTTTTTCGATTTGTTCAACAAATGGTGCACGTTGAATTTTTTTCTCTAATTTTTTAAATAAACCATCATCTTGTTTATCTTGATTTGGTTTTAATTTTTTATAACGTTTGAAAATCTAAAAGAAATTAACCCTCCGCCTTTTATTTTGATATGGATTGAAATAATTACCTTTTTCCGTAAAACATCTAGACTGAGTGTTTGATCAGTTGCTTTACTTAGTGCACGTTTTATTTCATCATACCATTCAAAACGAGGATTCGTTGGTACTGCTTGATTGTTATCATCTTGAGCATCTTCATCTTCATCATTTGTTTTCGATTTCTTGGATGATTGTTCATCATCTTCAGAATTTTGTTTTCGTTTTGTTGGTGATTTATTCGTTTCTTCATTTTCAATTGGAACTTCAGATGTATTTTGGTCTTCTGTATCATTTTTTTTCGGTTGATTAGCTTCATTAGTTCCAGGCTTTAAACATCATATTAATCGATTATTTATATATGTAATTAAGATTAACTTACCTTTGGTAATAAAGTTTCAAGTATAGACCATACTTCTTCTACTGTTCGTGGTGGAAAACCTTTGATGGAATTATTAGTAAAATTCTATATATATATAAATGAATAATTTTAAGAAAAAAAAAGTTAAAATTACAATAAATTTTGCTCGTTTTCGTGGTGTATTTGGATAATATTGAAGTTTTTTCAATAAAATTTGTGCTTGTGGACTACCCGAATTGAGATTAATAGCTGATTGAACAATTTCAAACCATTGATTTTGTTTCTTTTCACCTTTATTGACATTTGTTGGTGCAGTATAATTTGCACCACCATATTTTTCTTGTTCAGTAACACATTTTATATGGTCTTTATATGAATCACGACTAGAAGATTAATGAAAAGAGATTAATACTTTAAAATAAAATCGAATATTTTTATTTTACCTAAAATCTGTTCCACAATCAATACAAGAGAGTGTCTGTGCTCGTCGACATACGCCTCCTAAATGTTTGTCGACTTGGTTTTTTTTAAGTGCTTCGCCACATCCACCACAATGAAAAACAACCATTGTAATATTCTTTATTCTCTAAAATGAAATTAATTAAAAGTAAATATTTTATTTTTTAAGCGATTTACTTCTACTACATAATTTCGTCAAATTTCTTTTTTCTTGGATAAAAATGAAGATAATTCAGTTTGTCTATCAATCTACCAGGGTGTCCGTATAGTTGTATGCTACTCACATACACACTCTCCAGATGACTATATTTCCCAATCCTTAATCTACTAAATTTATGATATAATACGGAAGGAATTGCACAGGATATTTCCTACATGTATGCTCTTGTTTTCTCATTTCAACGAAAGAAAAACAAACAAATAGCAAAACATAAATTTTATTTTAAATATACATGTAATTTCATTTTTTATAGCGTTTAGATTCTTGTTTAATATATGCAGAATTCTTTTCATCTTTTCGTTTGGATGATGATGATGATGATGATGGAGCTGAAGGTGGTGGTAATTCCACTCCAGGTGCACAACCAAGTTCTTTTAATGTTTTTACAAGATCATCATCATTTTCATGTTCTTTTGGTGGTTTATAATCTTTAACATGATCAACACGTATTGATCGACCAGCTATTGTAGCTCCATTAAAATTATCTACAGCTAATATTGTACTTCGTTGATCTTCATAACAAATAAATGCAAAGCCTTTTGATTTACCAGTTTTTTTATCACGTAATAAATTAAGATTAACTATTTCACCCCATCTAAATAAATAGAAAAAAAAAACGAAAAATTTATTTTCTTTTAAAATAAAAAAAATATTCTTACTGAGAAAATACACATACAACATCACCTTCAGTTAATTGAAAATCTAAACCACCAACATAAATCCATGCACTTTCACGATAAACATGATGCCAACTTTTATTCGTATTTGCTGAACCACTTTCTAATTCTTTTTCATTTAATTGATTTAATAATCGTGCTTTACTAAAATTTAAACAAAACAAAATAATTAGTTCAAAGAAATAACTTTCTAATGAATAAAAAAAACTTACGTTTGTGAATTCATATCTATTAGAAAATGAACCTTTGAGAAAGATGAATGTAATAACACTGAATGCTTAAAAAAACTTACCAATCATTATTAACTATAGATGGCAGTTATGAATTTCTCGACGTCATAGGAAAACAACATTTATTTACTTGATAAGCTCTAGTCACCATATATATATTCGAGTTTGAATAGATAGAACATAAAAAATTTCATATCTTTAAGATTGTTCTAATTTTATTTAAAAAAAGTATATTATGGATTATAATGATGATAACAATCCGTTTGCTGACTCGTCAATTCGACAAGCAACAGCTGCATCCTAGTGAATATGTTCATTTTTCACTATTTTATTGTTCAATTTAATTTTTTTTCAGTGCAACTCAACCTGCATTTAATGAATACAATCCATTTACAAATACTACGATACCGGCTCGAGTAAATTCAAAAGATTATATTAAATTTATTGGTATTTTTTCTTCTACTTTAGCCTGCTCCACCACCACAACAGCCAAATATTCCTGCTGTTTTACCACCCACACAACTACCATCTTATACATCTTTACCAACACCATATACACCCACACTATCAACAGAAAAATATGGCTATGATACAAAACCAGCACCAGTACCAGCACCAGCAGCAGCTCGTATTGATCTTAGCCAAATTGAACGACAACAACAAGAACTGGAAGAACGTGAAAAACGTCTTGCTGAACGTGAACGAGCAATTACGAATACATCACTAGCTGGATGTAAGCATATAATATCATTCTTTTATCCTACGTACATGATGAGTAATCTAGTTAAGAATGAGTAATCATTTTATTTTTACATATCATCTAAAATCTCATTGAGAAATAAGTAACAAAAAAAAATAGAATAATTTAGTTTCTCTCATTTTAGTGATACAACAGATTAATTTTGTTTTATTTAGTACGGGTCAATAATTTCCCACCATTACCAACAATATGTCCATGTCGACCATGCTTTTATCAAGATATAAATATCGAGATTCCGACTCAATTTCAACTTTGGGTTCGTTATATTTACTATCTATGGCTTCGTATGTATTGATTAGTATTTAATTATCTGAATAAATTTTGTATATATATTTAGTTTATTCGTTAACATTGTTTTTGAATGTTATTGCTGCATTATCTTATTTTGGTAAAATGAATATTATCGGAGAATATATATCGAACATTTCAATTTTTCTTTATTTTATAAAGTGGTTGACAAAGCCGGTGCAGCTACTTTTGGTTTATCAATTGTTTACTGCGTTTTATTCATACCAGCATCATATGTTTGTTGGTTTCGACCAATATATCGAGCATTCAGGTTAGATATAGATATAATTTGAATCAGTAGAAGGGTGTCACTGTATTGATAGCAAGCATAAATTCGAATTTGATTGAGTAGTATTACAAATATATAAAATTATATTAAAAACATTACAATGAAAAGATTTCAATTGTTGTTCATAAGACAAAAGCAAATCTTTTCTATGAAATTATTAAATACTTTTTTTTGTTTCTAAATTAATCTAGAGAAGACAGTGCATCAAGTTTTATGATCTTTTTTCTTATCTTCTTCATTCAACTTATCATAACAGTATTACAAGTTTTTGGTGTTGCTAATCTTGGATGGTAATATATATATATGTATATGTTGTCTTTTGCACATTTTGCACTTTGCATGTTATTATTTCTTTGACACTTATCTGCTTCATTGCACTTTGAACTTCTTTTTGTATAAATTGGGTATAAATCCGAGACTATACGATAAATGAATTGTATACATTTCGTATAAATGAAATATCTATTTAATATAAATTTAGAGTGGACAGTTCTGTTTCGTTTATGATTTTCTTCTTTACTGGTATTATGTTTATTATTAAAAATATTCTTTTTGCGATCGGATTTATTGGTGGCATGTGGTGGGTGCTTATTGAATTTGTTGCTTGCTTTTGCTTTAAAACTAATTCAACAATAATTTTTTTTATTAAGAAAAAAAAGCAATCAACAAAACATTTTTGCTGTGTGTTTTTTTTCTAGTGGCTTCATACTTATGTTTAAATTATTCGCAGCAGGCGGAAGCAAAATTGGAGTTGGTCTTCTAGTCATGATTGTTACATTTAGCTTTGCTGTAATTGCTCTCGCCGGTGGTTTATTATTGATCCAGGTGAGATTTTACAATATAATTGCTTATTATACATGCTCTGATCTCTTCAAAGAAATATATTTTTCTATTTTCAATATATATATAATACTTTTCTTTAAATCTAGCGGTTTTGCGCGACTTGGTGTAATGTCTAAGAATAAAGCTGTTGGAACTATGATGATTATTCTTGGTATTTTATGGTCACTGATATCCGTAGGAGCGGTTTTCGTTACGATTAGGGTATAGAGCTAATTGCTATTACTTAACTAAAACTAAATTGCTCTATGCTATTGAAATTATTTTATTGAAGAAAAAAATAATATAAATTGATTTTGATGGATTATTTTTTCTATTTAAATAGGTTCATCGATTGTATCGACAAACAGGCGCAAGTCTAGAACAAGCTCAGAAAGAATTTCAAACGGCTTTTGTGAATAAGTAAATCGTAAAAAGAAATAAAGCAGGATAAAACACATAGTTTATATTATTTTTCAGTCCAACTGTTCGTGGAGCAGCTCGTGAAGCAGCAACAGCCGGTATCAACGAAGCATTACGAAGTGATGGCAGTCAACAGAAACCAATCTATTAAAAAGATTTCAATACTAATAATATAATTTTTTTTTGCGTAATATTATTCTAATAAGTACCTTTACATTTATGATTGTATTTTCTCTCGATTATCTTTTAAAAAAAACAAAATTATTCTATTTTTTTCTGTTGTCAAATCGGCGTGTCGTCGACGGGAGGATTCATTAACAAAAACAAATCTATTATTTTTGTTGTATCTTGTTTTTCCATTTATTGATATTTATCATTTTATTTAATATTGTGACCAAAATTTATTCAATGTTGTGTGCAATATAGAAACAAAAAAAAATTGTAACTAAATATCTCTGATTTATTTTAGATATTTTGCTTTTGTGATTTTATCTATTCAATGGATATCATCGGAATAAAGAAAAAAGTAGATACAACTATATCTGATCCATTAGTACGAAATGAAGCACGACGTTACTCACTTCGTACACGTCTTGCTTTTTTACCTGATCACATTATCGGTAAATCATGGTTTTTCCGGTTATTAACATTGGTTTATTATTATTGTTATGTTTATTTTCATGCATTTGAAAGTATGATTACATAAAATAATTATTTTACAAATATTTTTCACTTATATTATAGTTGTCGGAATTGAAAAAATCGATCCTAATCAAGGATGTCTTTTTTATGCTCGACATTCAACACATAATGGTGAAATCTTGGGTACAATTGTAACGATGTATCATATGACAGGTCGAGTTCTTCGGTAGATTTTGTTTAATTTTCTTATTATATTTTCAATACTCACTTGATTAAAATTAGTTAGATCGTTGATTCATCGATGTTTAACACCATTTTTTCCAATTTTACGCTTAATGGGCGCTGTACCGGGAGAACCAAAAAGCGCAACATCATTATTAAAAAGTGGTTTTTGGGTCGCTGTTGTTCCAGGTAAATTTGTTTTCGTATACATTTATCTGATTTCATAATTGGATATTTTATTCAGGTGGAGCAGATGAAGGTATGATTGGCCATGAAAATGCGTATAAAGTATGTTGGCCTAAAAAACGTAAGTTTCGTTATTTTTCAAAAACATATATTTTTTTAATTTGAATTCAATTTATTATTTCAAGGTAAAGGCTTTGCTCATATAGCTGTACAAGCTCAAGTTCCCATGGTTCCATTATTCTTAGCTAATGTAGATGAAATGCGTTGGAATCCTATACTTTGGCTATGGAATCTTTTAGGACTTGGTCGTTTATTTTCCTATATTCGTGAATTAGATATTCCAGTTTTAAAACCATTCATACTTTTATTATCATCAACAGTATGGTTTTTAGTAACATTTATTCAAATTCCAATACCAGCTAAATTAACATTATATATTGGTGATCCAGTACAATATGATATGTCAAAAGATTCAATTGATGATGTAAGTTTTTGCTCTTCTTAAAATAAATCTCTATTTATTGATTAGATTGTTGAACGAGCACGTAATGATTTACAATCATTAATTAATCGTCATCAACCATATGGAAAATCTTATTCGAATGCTGTTAAACAAAGAATTCAATGTTTAACAAAATATTGGAATGAAAAACTTTCTCAAGGAAAAAGTCATAAACAATGAATGATAACCAGTGCAATACTTCTATTTTTTTTTCTTCTATTTTTATTTCACGTTTGATATTTTTGTTTCAAGCCATATATGATATGATTGATATCCGTAATTGTCTGGTAAAAACATAATGATTATATGTTTTGTTTTCTAGATTATTCGAAATGATACAAGATGATTTAATGGATACAACAGTTCTAAATCAAATATTTAATGTTGATAAATTTCGTTTAACAAATGAAAGTGATCAGCAATGGTTTTATCGAAAACAATTTATTCAAGCATATCGGAACGATTATAATGAAGAAAGACTTTTATGTCTTGCACAGTGTTATGCAAATACAAAATGTCTTGGATGTATGTAGAAAACAAAAAGTCATATTTCTAAGAATGATTTGAATTAACAATTAAAGTAAAAAACACCTATATTTTTAGGCAAATATTCCGAACCATTAAAATCATTACTTGATCAACTATCAGAGAGATTTTCAAATTTGCCTATAAAACGTCCAACAAGTCAAGAACCAACCGATGTAAATAATAAACGTAATGCACCTATATCAAAGTAAGACATCTAATGAGTAATGTTAAATTCCATACTTATTGTCTAAATTAGTACAACAATATCCACCAATCCATTGAATACAAATTTTTCTAATCAATCAAATTTTGTTTCATTCTCATCATCAGTTACATCTGAACCACAACCACCACAATCAATTGTTTCTTATTCTCAGCAAAATAAATCTTCAAATATTGATCCAAAAACAAGATTATATGAAACAACTGAAACAAAACTTGCTCGTCTACAAACATTTACTACTCAACTTAAACAATCAATACAATTAGCACAAAATCGTGCAGGTAACGATGAAAATGATCATGCTATTGAACATATATATCAAATTGGTACACAACAACGTTTATTTATTGATTATCGTCCAGATGAATTAACTGATCAATTAAATTCTCATGGAACACTTGCAAATTCATTTTTAACCAAACTTTTTCGTGGTAAACTTTATATTGATGATATTTATGTATGTTCAGGTGAAGGTACAAATAAAAAATTATGTAAACGAAATTGTTTTCAACAAGCATTAAATCGCTTACTCTATGAAAATTTTGATGTAAATTTATCTATAAATAAAGATGGTCGAGAACAATATGAACTTAAAACAAAAATTTCAAATGAAAATCAAGAAGATTTTTCTATAGCAGATAATCAAGATAAAGAATTATTTCCTATACCATTAAATCATCCAATGGCTAATACAAAAATGAATTTTGTTCATGCAAGAGATACATTAACGATAGCTGGACGTACAGCTCGACAACAAAATAAACTTGAACAACAATATTGGCAACAATGGGGTCGAGGTACACCTTTCTCAGTAAAACCAAGACGTTCACAAAGATCTCTATCACCACCACCACCGGTACCACATCAAAAATTAAATGAAACGACGACAACAACTATTGAAGCATTATCAACTACACCAGCTAGTGTTGCTGTATATATCTTTTCTTTTATTTGTTTTATATAAAGAGAATGTTATATTTAGAATATCATTGCTGATATGGAACAAGCAGCTCAACAAGAAAATATGGATACTAAAGAATCGAATTCTTCATATTCAATAAAACTAATCGATGGTCAAGTAAATACATTCGATTTCTTTACTTATTTACTAATGAAAATTCGAGATTTTGAAATCTATTTCAAAAGAGATAGAAAACAAATCGATTGTTTCTATATTATCTAATTTTTCCTATTCAGTTATTATTATTATTATCAATTCTACAATAATCTGTATATTTGGTCCTGTTTGTTTTATCAATTCAATATATTTTATACAAATAATTAGGTACAAGTCAGTGTATTGATATGTTTTAAAATATAAGACTATAAAAGAAAAGAAAAATAATTATTTTATAATACGAAAGAAAAAAAAAATAATCTATCGTTTATCTTTCTAGTCTTATATTTTCATTCAAATCTATACATTGATTTTTAAAAGATAATGAAAAAAAACTGTTTGAGAATATTTTAAATCATACAAAATTATTTATTATTATATATATATATGAGTATATTATTTTGTTAGATCAATCATGTACCATTAATTCAACAGCCAGTATGTTCTGAAGCAGTCAGAAATGCTGTTGATCCAGTGTTATTATCTCAACAACGTGCCAAATTAGCTAAAATGCAAACATTTCTTTTTAGTTTATTAAATACTTTAGCTGATGCAAGTCATTCTATTGATCTTATATCAACACAATGTAATAAATATCATTTAAATATTGATTTTGAATGTGCTGATAAACCAACATCAAACGGTTTTCATGGTCATTTATTAATTGAACAAATTGAAGTTGCTGATGGATTCGGTATTAATAAAAAATTAGCAAAAAAACAGGTATAGTTATATCAGAATCCTACTGAATAATTAATTATTAATAATATTGTTTCTTCAGGTATATGCCAATGCATTAAAATCCATCTCATCAGCTAAATCATTTTCTCTTGAATTACGCAAAGAAATTCGTTGGGCATTAGTTTGTCATCAAGATAGTACAGGTTTACTTAAAATACCACCACCTCGTCGACCAATGGCATTACGTACTGAAGATCGACCAAGTCGTTGGGGACCACCAACTAATTTATCAGCTGTTACAACATCTACAACATCAGCTGTACGTCATTTTCATGAACGTCGTGTTGAAGAAGGTTATCAACGTGAAAAAGAATATCATCCTGGAAATGGTGTATGTATTCCTCCACCAGCATTAATTGAACCTCCATTAACACGTGTAGATATTGGAAGAGATCTAACAAAATGTACTTCATCAACGGATGAGGCTATTGCAAATAATATACGTCGTCTTATTCCAAATACATTTGTTATTTTTGAATTACTTGATTTTGACGAAAATATACCTGGTCATTATGTTTCAATGTTATTTACATCAATGTCAAAAAATAAACTTGAACTTAAATATGAATTTATTCATGTACCCAATGGTTTTATGATAACATATAGTATAAATAATCGATTTTTTATGTCATGGATAGCATCAACAAAAATAGCAGCTAAACAAATGGGTGCTAAAAAAGCAATTGATATTTTAAAAACACTTTATCCAAGTATAAAAACTAAACATATTGTTGGTGATATGTCTATGAATGAAAATGAAATAATGAATATTAAATGTAGATTAATAAAACGTGCACAATTATATGATCAACAATTATTAATAGCATCTATGACAACAACAAATACAAATCCAGAACAAAAAGAAGATATGGGTTCAAAATTATTGAAAAAAATGGGTTGGATAGGTGGAGGAATTGGAAAAGATTTACAAGGTATTGCTGAACCAATACAAATTGAAGATTTACAAGGACGAAAAGGTTTAGGTAGCAATAGTTTATTTCCAAATCAAATTTTTATAAAAAATTTAAGACATATACTCGAAGAATTTATTTCAACAAATGATGATGATGGAGAATTACAATTTGCTAATGAATTTAATAGTGAAGAAAGAAAATCTATTCATAAAGAAGCTATGAAATTACATTTAACATCAAATTCATATGGTCGCGATGGTGATAGACGAGTAAATAATTAAATAAAACAAATAAATAAATAATATTCTCTTTTTTTTATCCATTTAAGATTCGAATTACACAAAAACGTAATGTTGATCAACTTGTTGATCATTTATTAACTCATGGTGGTAAAACAGCACGATATGAATTGAAAGCTCAAACACAACCAAGACCTTCATATCCTACTAAATCCACACAACGTTCATATGCACAAATGGCACCGCCACCATCACAATGGACAGCTCCGGATGCTTGTGATGATGAAACTTTATAGTAAAAAAAACTTATCTGAATAGTTGTTCGATATTTTTTTCTTTTTTTTCCATTGTTGAACAAATTATGGTTTTGTATACATTAAAAACTTTTTTCATTGTGATATTGTTTTTAATCATTTTTCTTTTTCTACATATATTTAGAATTTAGAGAAAATATTTCATTTGCCTGGTAAAACTAATGAGCTTAGAAGAGATTTTTGTAATATGACAATTCTTTAACTAACATGTGTTCTTATATTTATATATGACAAACACAAACTTGAAGATTATACTTATCATATATTGACTGTAATCTGTTATAAAGACTTAAATTTAAACTTCTGATACATGAAAAGATGTCACCATAATATAGATTAGAAGGGCTTTCTACATTAGTTTTTATTCTTCTGTATAAAATAGTATCTGAATTTGATATCAATAACAGAATGTCCTTGTTAGTATTTTAACCACATTGTATTCAAAATCGTTTACTTAGAATTATCGTTTCTTTCTAATACTTCATATATTAGCATAGAGTAAATCTTGTGGGTTTGACAAACTATGATGTATAGTCCTTCAATCAATCATAGAAAATTGAATGATTTTTGTGAGCGATTTATTCTATTATTAAACGACAAACGAGTAATATATATATGATAAATCAGAAGTTTACTCAATTATTGATTGCACAATGGGAGGAAGAATAGTTTTACTGTCAATAGTTATTATTTTCCAATTGACATAGGATTTATAGTTTTTTATGAAATTAACCGGAAAAAGAACAGACTCGTAATATTTATTAACAATTTATTGAACAAACACAGCTGCAGATGTTTTATACAATATTTTGTTTTGAGTAAAATGATGTTACAAAGAATAGTAGCCAAACGAACAAGTTCTAGATTTCTAACTGTCCCTTATTTACATTACCTGGTAGAAGAAGTTTATCTTTACAGCAAATAGTCTAAAATTATACACTTTGCAAATAAAAGAATCATTCGTTATATTAAGATAAAGTAATATTTAACTGTGATAAAAGACAAGGACGTAGTCACTAATATCTTTCATCACTAACTAGTAGAGAGAGAGAAAGAAAGAGGAGCGGTTAACCTCTTACCTACATTATACTCATTATCAGCATATATGTGAAAGGTGTTATATCATGTCGGCTGCATTTAGAGATCTTTTTAAATATTTATATAATATTTAACACTCGTAGATATCAAAGATAGATAATTGAAGATAGTAATATCATTACTATTCTTCAGAAGAATTTCATCGAGACTTATATCACTGTCCTTTACTTTTTTTCAAATAGCAATATAGTGAAAATAAAACCACAAGCTAGTATTCTAATATATGTTCATCAATAAAATCCTTTTGATGCTATCGATGTACAAATATCTTACATATTACCTTTTCACTATATATATATACATAATAAATATTTAATCACGTTCAGATGGTATAAAAAGAATGACAAATGAAAATTAAAATAGAACCTAAACTTATAAAATATTCTTTTAATTTTTTTTTTGTTCAAGATAATAATGCGATTACCTATTATCTTACTGTTTTTATTGGCTGTGATATCTTACAGTCATGGTAAACAACCTCGTGGTTCTTTAAATATATTTGATGTTAAACCAACTGTGGGACAACCGTGGCCAAAACCACAAACAATTAAAACAACTTCACAACAATATGCTGTACATCCATCTGCCTTTCATTTTATGGTGAATTCAACAAGTCAATCATGTGATCTTCTTACAAGTGCATTCGATCGTTATTATAGAATTATTTTTTTTCCACAAACTTATTTAAATCATATTCTTGATCCAGAATTAGCCAAACATGAAAAACAAATTGAACCAAAAATAAGTTTAGCTGATCTTCAAGATGCAACACTACTTAAACGACTTAATGTTCATATTCAACAGCCTTGCGAACAATATCCAAGTCTTGAATCTGATGAATCATGTAAAGCATAACGATCTATTCATTCTTATTAAGAATTATTCTATTTCTTATTTAAGATTCACTTACTATCGATTCTGATAGTGCTATGCTTGAATCTATAACAATTTGGGGTGCTCTTCGTGGTCTTGAAACATTCAGTCAAATTATTTATGCTGATGATAATCTCGGAGTAAATTTAATTGAACATTTTGTTTTCTTTTAATTTCTTTGTTTCTTTTTAATTTAAGTTTGCTGTTAATAATACAATGATCAATGATTTTCCTCGTTTTAAACATCGAGGAATACTTGTTGATACATCACGTCATTTCATTTCAGTCAAAACATTAAAAATGAATTTGGTAAATAAATAATTCTTTAGATTTAAATTAAAATATAATTATTTTGTAAAATTTTTAGGAAGCTATGGCAGAAAGTAAATTGAATGTCCTTCATTTTCATATTGTTGATGATCAATCATTTCCTTATGAATCACGCACATTTCCTGAAATCAGTCTTGCAGGAGCATATAATCAAGCACATGTTTATTCACAAGATGACATCGCTGGTTTAATTGAATTTGCACGTCAACGTGGTATTCGTGTTGTTGTGGAATTTGATTCACCAGGTTTGAAAACATCAAAAAAATAAGAACTAGAAGAAAATAAAATGAAATTGTTTGTCTATGATTAGGTCATACACAATCATGGGGATTAGCTATTGATATTCTAACACATTGTTATAGTGGAGGAAAACCAAATGACGAATTCGGACCAATGGATCCAAGTCGAAATACAACATTTGATTTCTTAAAAAAATTGTTCAGTGAAGTTGCTAGTGTTTTTCCTGATCATTATATGCATTTAGGTGGTGATGAAGTTGATTTTGATTGTTGGTAAGATTTTTAATATAGATAAATAATATTAAAAATATGTATATCTTTATAGGAGAAGTAATCCAGATGTTCAAGCTTTTATGCTTAAAATGGGATTTGGAACTGATTATTCATTACTTGAACAATATTATATGCAAAAGTAGATTATTTCGAAGAAAAGATGTATATATATATTAGGAAAATTTTGATTTATTTTTTAGTGTCGTTGATATTGTTGGTGCAACAGGAAAAGGTTATACTGTATGGCAAGAAATTATTGATAATAATGTAACAGTAAAAGCTGATACTGTTGTTGAAGTTTGGAAGGTTAAATAAGAACAAAAAAAAGAAACAAATTGATTATAAATGAATTTATTCTATTTATAGGATCCATATCCACAAGAATTAGAACGTGTTACTAAATTAGGCTATCGTACTCTTTTATCAACATGTTGGTACGTGAATAAAATATATATATATGTGTAATATTTAATTGAAGAATAATATTAATTTTAGGTATTTAGATTATATTTCCTATGGTTCTGATTGGGTTAAATATTATATGTGTGATCCACATAATTTTAATGGTAAAATTTTTACTGCATAATATTAATAAATAACATGATTTCATGTATAGGTACTGATGAACAAAAGAAATTAGTTGTCGGTGGCGAAGCTTGTTTATGGGGTGGTAAGTTGTCACAGATAGAAGCAAAAAAAAGTACTAAAATATATATATATTTAGAATTTGTTGATGCTACAAATCTTATTTCAAGAATGTGGCCAAGAGCTTTCAGTATTGCAGAACGTTTATGGTCAGCAGCTGACGTAAAGGATCCTGCTGTTGCAAAACCTCGATTTGAAGAACATCGTTGTCGATATGTCAGACGTGGTATTCCAGCTTCACCAGAAAATGGTCCAAGTTATTGTGATTATGAATATAATCGTTAATCAATAATCAAAATAAAAAAAACAAGCTTAAAGCTAGTTAATCTTTTTTATATAACAAAATAAAATCATTCTTATATTTCAAATATTCAATACTGATTCTTTATTCTTTACATTACTGTAATTTCTTTTTCTTCCTTATAAATAAATCAATCACATATGTCATTAGATTGACGGATATCATGATGATGAATAATAAACGAGATTTTGAAACAGGATAAACATGACAATGAATTAGATTTTGAATATTAATTATTTGTTTTAATTATCATATTTTTATTCATGAATCAAAATGAGATTAATTCTTCTTCTTCTTATTATTATTATTATTATTATTATTTTTCTTCTTCTTCTTCTATAGTCGATACTATATCAATTTATAATTGAAAAGATAATTATCTCAAAGAATATACTTAGAAAAATGAGAATATGCTAGAATCGGAATAAGATCAATTGACTTTGACATAATTTAATAGAAAGAATAGGAAAAAAAACCGACAAAAATAAAATAAATAAATATATTTTTTTTTATTGAAATTTTCTAAAAAAAAAAAAAAGAAAAACTATCATAATTATAAAGTCAACTACAATTGACTTGTTTTGACATCTATCTATATATATATAGTGGTTTTCAATTAGATTAATACATTAGATGAGTCGATGATAATGAAATATGATCTACATAAAATATATCATCTCTAATTTTAATGTGTGAATTCATGTCTTCGTACGAATATAGAATGACAAAATATTCTTTAAGATCTTTAGAGAAAAATATTTTTATATGAATTCATCATTCTGACGTCGATATAATTTTTCTAATAAGAACTAAACGTATATATACAAATGCCCTTATAAATTACATCATTTATTAAAACTTTTTTTTTTCTTCATTCTAAAAAAAAACTATCTTCTTTTTTTTCCGGCTAATTTTCATTGCTTATAAATAGAACATTATTCATCATATTAATAATCTAAAAGAATATTTCAATGTGTAGAAATATTTTGTAGTAAATACGATGCTATCTAGAAAGGTTGACAGTTTCATGATGTACATTTGTCAGCAAATAAAATGGCAATGAAACAATCTAGTTACTGAATACAGCTCATACTCGTCATTTATAGACCGTCCATAGTAATCATCTTAATAAACACGCAACAAAACAAAAGAATAAAAAAAAAAGACATCATGACTCTAAGACACATATGAATGCACCGTTCTCTGCTATGCATTTTCTTTTTTATTATTAATAGATTGTTGTTCTTGTTACCATTGTTTAAAATTACAGGTTGATAATATGAAAGAAATATAAATATAGCAAAGTGTATATATATATATATCAGTACATTTTTTATGCCTTATAACTTACAATAATATTGATAATAATCATAATAAGCTAGATATTTATATCAAATGACAAATATATTTTTCATTCATCATCAAATATGATTAACATCAGTGCATATATTCAGTTTCTTCTATAATTGTCGCGTATTTACAAGACAAAAAAGGAAATAAGAAATGAGAGAGAGAGGAAGGGAGAGAGAGAGAGACCGAGAAAGAAGGAAAGATATAGAAAAGAAGAACGAGAGACACGGTTCTATTTTTTCATTCTATTGTTGTGTGTTGTTGTCACTGTCTGTTGGGAACAAAAGAGAGGGAGAGAGAGAGAGTGAGTGACTAAGTGAGAGTGAGTATAGTAAAGAAACATAGTCGAACTGGTCGGATATGGGAAAGAGTTTTCATCCTGAGGATTGTTTTCATGTATGTTGTAACTACTATTATTGCATGCGTTAATGCTTATGATGTTTTCCTTGTTGTTTGAGTTACTCAAGCAAGAAGAGAAGAAGTGTTAGTAGGCTTCAGCCCGTAGGCTAATCGACACACTTCAAGATATGCTGACAGAAAAAAATGGCAGTAGTTTTACCGCCACTTAAACTAAAGCAGACGTATGCATGTGTACGTTCATTTTAGTATTGTTTGTCACAATTTACTAATTAGATCCTTTTTTTAAAAAGACATATATATAAATATATATTTTTAATTTTTCTTTTTGTTCTTTCTTATATACCTAATTTCTGTACGCTTTATATGAAGTAGGTAAAATGAGACATTTTCCTCTATTTATTCTTTCTTTTTTTTTTCTTCGTCTTTTTTTCGATAATCTTTTTTTTCTCTGGCATTTCTCTTATAGATGAGGATATACGCTTAAATGCGTTTTCTAACGAGTGTTCTTGTTTTTTTCTATCGAGCGTTGAGCATCTTGTAGTATACTAGGTACCGTCATTCATTTCCCGTTTTATCCGACCGGTATAATGTATATATATATATATATATATGTGTGTGTGTGTGTGTGTATGTGCGTGTTTCCGTCGCCATCCATTGCTGTCGTGGTTCAATGAAGGCTTTGTTGCTTGTTTGATTACGTTTCTAATTTGAGACATGCAATGTGGGAATTGTATCTTTTCAACAATAGTACTAACAGCAATAGTCAAACATTACTAAATCTCAAGTGATTGTCTTGTTTTATTATAACAATGAACAAAGAAAAAAAAGTTGAAAGACAATAATTGTCGATTTCTATTGAGATTTGAATCTGTGTGTACTTACAAATAGTTGACTTTATTGATAACCAATAATTGAAGTTAACCCTAGATATAATTTCCCTTTTTTTTTCTCTCCTATTCGTCTTAGTTATAAAAATCGGCAAGGTCGATTGATTAGTAAGATAGAGAAGCATCAATTGATGAATATCTTTTTTTTTGTTCTCATCATGAATGCAATAGGCATGCGTAGAAGCAGAAAAATGGTCATAATTCTCAATCTAGATTAGATGCATGATTCTAGGGATACATGCAAATTCGATATGCCAAGGGATAATATGAAATAATGAGCAAATATGTGCGTAGTCTAGAAAACATTGTCTTCATGTGTAATGGAAAACAATATTGAAAGAATCTATCTATATTTTTTTTAATAAAGAATATTATAGGTCGTCACCTTTTCATCAACTGCCGAGACGTCTAGTTTTCTCGTTCAATATGTTTTATTTTTTTTATGAAGTAATAGAAAAAAATATGTTTGATAAATCGAATATAAATACGTTTATTGTCAATGAGATCTCGATCTCATTTTTCTTTCCTTGACTATGCAATGCGGCAAACGATCAGATTTTCTATATTATATATATTTTTTTCTTTTTCCTTTTTTTTTTGCACATAACAATCATTTGTCACTTATATCAACGTTTCTCTAAAAAAGATAGTAGCGCTCAACAATTCTTTTTTTTCCTTTCTAACTAATCATTTTATTAGTCTTTAATATTTTTCCTTTTTTATTCCTGTTCAAGATACCTGGAATGTGAACACTTTTATTTATAAATATTTCTTTTATATTCATGGTTAAATGAAGTAACAATTCGCCTAAATGAAGGACGTTGGTAACGGATCATTTGTATGCCCAAATGATCGACAATTACAACTTCGAGCAAAGTAAAATAATAAAAGAAAAATTGTTTATATTATTTTTTATTTTTCTAGACTTAATTCTGGATGGTCATTTCATACAGGTCGTCCAGCAACACGTAGTGCTAGTGCAGCACCTTCAAGTCGTTTTGGTAGTGCGGCTGCTGCAGCAACAAATGCGGCAACAAATGGCAATCAATCATTACGTGATGAAGAAATGGAAAGAATTAAAAAAGTACTTGAACGAGCTCAACGTATTGAACTCATTGAACAAGAACGAGTCGGGTATGACTGAGTAAACTAAGTATTCATAATGTTAATTGTTGAAAATATTTTTAAAGAAAACTTTTTGATCGTCTCGATAATATGAAAAAACATGCTACTGGGAATGGTTCATCTCAATGTGTTTTATGTGCAGATGGTTTTGGCATGTTAGGTGTATCATCTGTATCTTGTATTGATTGTCATAAAGTAAGAAAAAAATGAAATTTTCCTTTTTTTACGAAAAATATTAATCTTTTTTTATATATTAGTCTGTGTGCAATAAATGTTCTATTGAAACTGTTTATAATCAACAAGTCATATCATTATGTAAAATATGTAGTGAAAATCGTGAGGTAATATTACATCTTTTATTTTTCTGTTGTTTTTTGGAAAACACAATATTTTTTTTTATTTAGTTATGGAAAAAATCAGGTGCTTGGTTTTTTCGTGCCTTGCCTTCGCGTTCAACTTTACCTTCGAATGTAAAACCGTCCGCATCAGCTTTATCATCAGTTACTACAAAAAGTGACAGTATATCAATTGATGATGATTCAAGTTCAGATGATCGACAAAGTAGTTGTAGTCGATTTAATCGATTGCCCTCTCCAAATACAGGTTAGAATTTTGATTGAAAAAAAAAAAACAAAAAATTTTATTCTTAAACTTTAGCACCATTAAGTAATCATTATACAACTGTAAATCCATCTCAACAAAATTATGATAATACAAGTTTGATAGTTGAAAAAGATCGTGATGAAAGTATCGAATCATTTAAAACAGATGACCGAAGTTTAAAAGGTAAAAAATATTTGATAATTAAATTCAAAAATAAAATATATTTTTAGATGTTCCTATTGACGAATATATTCCAAAATCTCATATACGTTCTACATCTCAACCACCAACGTCACCAACAGTATCATCATTATCATATCCATCATCAATTCCATTAATTACATCTACTACAACAGTAACAACATCATCATCATCACCAACAAGTATGCGTCCTTTATCATCTATTATTATTAATTCCTCATCAATAGCTGATGATTGTGGTATGTTCGAATTAATTTCTTTTAACAATTAATTTAACTAAATATTTTTTGTTTTTAAAGGATTGGGTTTACTTGATTTTGATATTATTTGGAGAGAAGCATTTAATATTTTAACAATAACATTAATACGAGCACGAAGTTTACGTTCAGCTGATTCAAATGGACTTTCAGATCCTTATGTTAAATTACATCTTGTACCTGGTGTTGCTAAAGTAAATATTTATATATTTAATAATATGAATTTTCTATTAAAATACTTTCTATTAGGCAACGAAATTACGTAGTCATACTATTCGTCGAACATTAAATCCAGATTTTGATGAAACTCTTGTTTATCATGGAATATCATTGGATGATATAAAAACAAAATCGCTCAAGTTAGATCAAAAGAAAAAAACTTATTTTCATATTTTAAAATATTTCTTTCTATAAAGATTTACTGTTCTTGATGAAGATTCACTCGGTGCAGATTTTCTTGGTGAATATCGTTTAAAACTATCAACAATTAAACCCGATGTTAAAGAAGCTTTTTCTATTTATTTACAAAATAAAACTGATGTAAGTAATACCCCCAAAAACAAAACAGAAAACATTCTTTTTCACTTTTTCCCCATTCATTAATACCATATATACACTTACACTTCTTTTCTATTTGTTAGGATACTGAGGTAATGAAATAATAAATTCTATTGTCGTTCACATTGTTGTTAAATTTAATTTAATTATGCTTATTTGTTATTGTATTGTATTTATATGGCATTAATAGTTGTTATTTATTTATTTGTTATTTTGTTATTAATATGTTTTTAGTTTTGTACTGATGAAGATAAAAATGAACGTGGAAAAATTCTTCTTAGTCTTTTTTATTCCAAATTAACATGTAATTTTCATGTAAAAATTGTTCGTGGTAGTCAATTATTACCTATGGATTTTGGTCAAACATCAGATCCATATTGTAAATTATTCTTATATCCATCAACTGATACAAATTCAAAATCAAATTTTAAAACAACAGTTAAAAAACATACATTACAACCTGAATATAATGAAGAATTTATTTTTTCACATATACCATTTGCAGAATTAATTAGTAAAACATTACAAATCACTGTTTATGATAAAGATGTAGGAAAACGAGATGATTATATCGGTAAATATATTTTTGCTTATTAATAGATTGAGAACTTCAATTTTTTATAGTTAATAAAATATCAGGAAAAGTAAGCAAAAATCATGCATATATCTGCTAGGCAAGAATTAATAACTGTAATTTTCTTCGACGATTAGTGTTTCCTTTTCCTGTCAAGCGAAAGTCATTGAGTATATTTTTGCGAGAAATTCTACAAAATAAAATCAATGAACGAAGACTTTTTTCGTTTTTAATTGATCTTAACCTTAATAAGAAAGAAAGACAGGGAGATTTTCTAATGATTCAAGCGATTTCCGTTCTTAAGGTTAACGATTTATATATTGATGATTTCCTTCCTAAAGATACCGTTTTTATCTTATTTTAATGATATTTTTCTTTAGGTGGTTTTGAATTAGGACAATCAGCATCTGGTGATGAATTAAAACATTGGTTATTAATGATAAAATCACCTGAACAATGGATTGATATGTGGCATAAATTAAAACCAGAGGAATATCGTTCATCATCATTACGACAACAAGATTCTCAGACATCTCGATAGCAATAATTGTTAATCATATCTACTTTTTTTTTGTTTACTTAGTTTTTATTTATTATTTTTTTTTCTTCTTATTTACGTATACATTTTGATTGTGAATGTTCTGTGTCGATATACAAAAGAGAGAATAATTATCTATTTTACAAAACAAATCATAACATACTTCTTAATGCTTTCTTTCTTGTCAATGTTTATTTTTGATAATTTGAATGTTTCATTCTTTATTTCTTTATTTATCTGTTACTAGTAGTCACTATCAATATACATTGAATAATTTAGATTTATGTTCGTAATGAACAGAGATTTTCTTTAAACTATCTATCATGTTAGTCTTCCTTTCATTCGGACTATTATTATTATTATTCTTGAATATTGATAGTGTACATAATTTTTGATAAAAACATTTTCATATAGTCTATGAATACATATATATCAATAATACAAATGACACATTTAATAATATCAAAAAAAGTTTTAATTGTTTTTGTTTTTCTCTATTGTTCTGTTGTGAAATATTATTGTATGAATTTATTTTTCTTTAAAAATCTCTATTGTCATTTATTTTTTTTCTGTTCATTTTTAAACTTCTATGTGAATGTAATTTCAAGATAATCATCTACTTTTTTAACACTAAAATAATATATATATCATTTGAACATCTTTCAGCGCCATCTTCAATAAAACTAAAAATGTTGTTTAACACATTATAATTACAAGGTTGTTGCATAGTAACCTAATTGAGATGAATGAAAACGATTATTAGTAGTTATGAGATTTTATTGGAAAAAAGAAAGCTATTGAAAAATATTTATGGATCAATTTCAAGTATTATCAGCTGTTTGTAAAAAATTAAATAATGATGTTGAATCACTTGTTAATCAAATGTCAATACGTGAATCTGCATTAGCACAAGCAGATGCACGTCAACAATCACAAGATGATCAACTTCGTTCATTTAATATGGATTTACAAATAAAATTATCTAGAGCAGATACAGTTATACAAAAATTACAAGTTGATATTGAACAAATTTCTCATGGACTTCGAGAAGCTATTAATAATCAACAAGAATTCAATCGATCAAGCGTACAACGTCAACAAGAATTAAAAGCAGAAGTAAAATCTTATTTTTTGTCTTATATATTTCATATGAACAAAGAAAAACAAATGAATTTATTAAATATTCGTAAATGCTAGTCTATCAAAACAAACATTGAAAATTTGAATTAAAAAAAATGATTTATATTTATATTTTTTTCTTATGAAAAAATCAAGTGATTATATGAAAAATTTAGTTTAATAGATTTTAGTTTCCCAATAAATAATCATTAATCTATTATGACTTGAATTTAATTTATTTGGATACAAATGAAAATTTTCAGCTACATAAAAAAATTGTTTTGTTTATATTCTGATTTTTAAGTTTCTAAAATATATATATAATAATATTTTCTGGTATTTAATAAAAAATCGATCTATAAATGAATCTCATTAATTAATTATCAAATTTTTAAGTAATTAGTATCAAAAAAAATAATTATTTATATGTGTATGTATATATATAATATTTGAAAATATTATTAATTTTTCTCATAGATTTCAACATTAACTCAACGTATTGATCGAATGTTTAATGAACAACAAGTTCTTCTACGTACATTTGAAACCGATACGGCACGTGCATTATCAACAGCTGATTCTCGTGCACATGCATTTGTCGATGAACTTCGTAGTCAAATGTTACAAAGTAAAGCTCAAAAATCTAGTGAACAAGAACGAAATGAACAACGTATCAATCAAAAACTTGATGAAATTAAACGGTCATTAGATAATTATGTAACATATGTTTTTAAGAATGAAAAAAAAAAATTTATATATATATATGTATATATTTAGGAGCGATATGAAAAACGTATTGATGATGCTATGCAGCAATTTGAAAGAAAGACTTTTTCTGTCGATGATCATTATAAACGAGCTATGGGAGATTTAAATCAAAATAACACAGTAACATTCTTGAATAAAAACATATATTTATTTTTGTAATTTATTTTTTATTTTTAGTCTATCGAGCATGATGTATATAAACGTTTCGATGATAGATATCAACGAACAGTATCTAATTTAGATAAAGTCAAAAAAGAAATGCGAACTTGTTTTGAATCACTTGAAAATTCGGTACAAACATTACAGCGTATAACTGATAAACGTATTAAAAATACAGAAGAAAAACTTGAAAAACAAGTTCAACAATTACGAAAAGAAATCGATATCATGTGATGTAAAGAAAATAAAAACATGTTATTGTATTATGTTTATATTTTCATGAAATGTATCAATATTCGATGACTGGACAAAAAGAATCTGTCATAATATATAAGCAAATATGTTTTGATTTTTATTTATGATTTGATTTTCTTATCTCATTACCTACCACATTTTCGAAGTAAACATGCTTACTGCCTCTTTTCTATTGATGTATATATATATGCATATATAATAATAATGACCTATCATGATTTTTTTGTTTCCTCACCTTTGTATTGGTACATTTTTTTTGTATTAGTAATTTTTTTCAGTGTATTGTTATTACACAGTATGTGCGCAAAAATCAAAGATTACTATCATACTTTCACATACATATATTTAAATATGCTGACATATTCTCAAGGTGATTGGGGCTTACTTTCGTACGTACATACATACATTAAAATATGCTCACGCATTTTCAAGGTGATTATATTTGAGAGAAAATATCATTTATCATGAAAAATAATAAGAATTGCCCTTGTATATGATTAATATTTTTCATGTCTGAATACATATATATATATTTCTTTAGCAATTAAGGAGATAATTAAAAAGATAATTTTTATAATATAAACTATTTTATTTAATCCTTTTCATCGTTGAAAAAGAAAACTTTAAAGATCTGTTATAAGCGAAACACGAAGCGAGAGCTTAACTTCAGCAAAAATATATATTAACTTAAAAAAGGATAACCTTAAAATAAAATAAGTTGTGAAAAGAATTGTATAAAAGAAAAAAAAAACGTGAGGAATAACTAATTGCTTATAAACCACCTTGGACGAATTTGTTGAATTCTCCGTGATCAAGACGTCCATCTTTGTTTAAATCAGCGCTATTGAAAGCAGCACCTAAAGCATCAAATCCACCAGCAGCACCACCAACAGCACCACCTTGAGCGGAGAATGATGATGATTCATAGCTTGAGCTGAAACCTCCAGCAGCACCACCATTTGCACCTTCACCGAAACTGGCACCAGCAGCACCACTTTCGAATCCTGAACCAGAAGCAAATCCAGCACCAGATTCAAATCCAGCAGCACCACCTTTAAATATACAGAAAATAGTACAATAAAATATGAATGAAATAATATACATACCATTGGCTGATGAGCTTTCGAATGAACTTGAGAAGGATGATGAAGCACCACCGAATTCAGCACCACCAGCAGCAGCACCAAATTCAGCTCCACCAGCAAGAGCACCAATACCGAATTCACCTCCAGCAGCACCACCATTAGCACTGAATGAAGCGGATTCTTGGCTAAATGATGCTGAGCTGCTAGCAACACCAGCGGCACCAGCGGGTGGTGACTAAACAAATAGAAAATAAAATAAAATAAAATAGCTATAATAAAATATGTTTATTCTTACGATATCTTCAACAACACCAGCGGCACGAGCTTGTTGAACAAGGGTTTGAGCATCAAGTAATTGAGCACCATATCGTTGAAGATAAGCTTGTGGGTTTTCTTGAGTAACACCTAAGCGTTGGAATTGTCGAACAACACGGACTTGAGCAGCTTCGTATTGAATGATAACGTTACGTGGGGCAGTATAAGCTTTAGCGGCTTCAGCACGTTGAACAATTGTTTTTCGTTTTGAAGCAGCACCATATGGAACCCAACGTTCGATGATGATATCACCTATTATAAATTATATTAAGATTAATAAATAATAAAATTAAAATTAAAATCACTTACGTGGACGAGCTGGAGCAGCTGGGAGACGTTCGATGATGACTGATCGTGGTGGTACGGGTAAAGCAGCGAGTTTTCGGATCACTGTTTGTGAAGCAACTGAAGCTGGTACCTGTGGTGGTTTTTCACGGAGGATGAGTGGGGGTGGTTGAGGGAGAGGTGGTGCTTGTTGTTTGATGCGAAGGGGTGGTGGTGGTGGTGGTTGAGGTGGGCGTACTTCTTTGATGATGAGTGGCTATAGAAAAAAAACGTGATTATTATTATAAAATAAAAGAATAATAAATATAACTTACGCCTGGGGGTGGGATTGGTGGTGGTTGAAGGAAGCGAACTTTAATGTTTTGTGTATAGGTTTGAACACCACCTGGTGCTTGTCGTCGGATGATTTGTGGGTTGGAATCAACATAGAGACCGGCACCACGTACTTCAGCACCATATTTAGACCATGCAGCGTTGGTTTCAGATGTGTAGCTAGCCGCTTGACTAACTTGTGTAGCATCGAAACCAGCAGCACCATTTGCGGATGATGATTCAAATGATGATGATGATGATTGGAAGTTAGCACCACCGTTAAGAGCAGCAGCACCATTGAGACCACCAGCTTGATAGCTTGATGATTCGAATGATGATGAACCTGCACCACCAGCAGCACCAAATCCGGCTTCAGCACCATAAGCTCCACCGTTTGATGAAAAGCTTGATGCTTCATATGATGATGCTCCGAAGCCAGCACCAGCTCCTCCGGCACTTACTTGTCCAGCTCCCCCACCAAGGGAGTTTCCGAGCCAGCTTGAGAATTCATTTCGATCGATTCCACCATCTTTGTTGGTGTCAACTTGTGAAAAGATTTGATTTGGATCAACTCCGCCAGCAGCACCGCCGGTTGAGGCTGATGATGAATACGATGAATATTCGAAATTGGACATATCCGTATGCGTATGTGTTCTCGTGTGAGGAGTGTGGTTGGTAAAGTATTAGGAATAAACCATCCCTTTATATACTAATTAAGACTATGCTTTTCTATCTCTCTTTTTCTCTCTCCTACTCTCTTTTTTCACCTTCTCACCCAAGTACCTTTATGACGTGGGTACCTAATGAAGCGTGTGATTTATTATGTATTCACTATCTCTTTTCTTTTTTCTCTCTTTTTTTGCCGTAATATTTCAATATTTTTTTATCATCATGATCAGATATTGGTTAGAAAAAAGGTATCAACATAAATCAAGCGGCTTACTCGCCGTGTCCTCAGACATCGACCGCCAAACCACATCGAGTAGGGGTTTTTCTCTTTACAAGGAAAAAAAATCCAAATACTAAGAATACACAATGAATCGACCATCACCTATGTATTCGATAACAGAGGATGACTGTTTGGTGGGGTAAGGTTTACCCCCCTAAATTTTTCTTTACATCTATATGAATAAGCACAACACCTAAACCAATAATAGTAAACGATTATAAATTAGGATCAAGGACAATATAATACACAATACAAATCTTAATAGAGACTATTGCGTCCATTATTTTTCTCGTTGTTAGTGCAATATGTTTACTTGATCATGTGTTTTTTATATTTTAATTCAAGCTTTGATTTATTTTTTCACAACTTGTTTTTTTTTAAATGTACACTACAAAAAGAAAATAGAGACAACTACACAAAACGAATAGATTGTCGTGCATGAACCAATAAAAGATCATTCTCTTTTGTTGCATTAGTTAATTCTTGATCAGGTAAAAATTTTTCACAGTTAATTATTGATCGATCTAGTTTTGAAGTATAATAATTATTATTATTATTGCTGAATAACGCGTGACGGTGATTCGAGCTGTGATTCGAGAAAAAATAAAGGCGTTTTTTATGATGACATCCTGTTGCTCTGTTTGTGGGTGTTGATGAAATTTGGTTATTTGCTGTATTTTGTCTTGCTTGATGTTGAATTTTTGGTGAAATTGCTAAAGAATTAGATGTACGTTGTTGATAATTTAGACGTTGTACTTGTGATGATGATGTTGTTGTTGATTGAGATTGTTTTGTTATTAATGAAATAGGATTATTTTTCTTTGATATATCTGTATCTAATTTAGAAGGATCAATACATGGGAAACAAGAAAAAAGTTTGCGAAATTCTTGATTAAATTTTGCCTAGAAAAATAAATAATTCGATAAATAAACAAATATGCACTTGAAACAACAAAAAAACATACACTACAAAGGCCATAAATAAATGGATTATGACAAGAATTCGACATAGCAAGCCAATTTGCACATAACCATAATACTACAATATGTTTAAAACTGGAAAAAAAAACATTTAAATTAATTTCATATGCGTATATCTAGATAAGGCATACTCATTTATTTCTGGTTTATAAACATTAAGAAAATTATATAATTGTAATGGAAACCAACATATTAAAAATAAGGCAACAACAAGAAATAGCATTTTTAATACCTAAAGATAGAAATTGGCCTTGATATAAAAATTGAATAAATCTATGACGTACTTAATAAATTTGACAAAATCATTAGTTTTAGTATCTATAAGTCAATCAGTGAAATACTATCTGGACACGATCAATTTTTATTCTATGAGAATGTGCATCTGCTATTTTATGTTGTTTATTCTATTAGTCTTTTTTCAAGGTCGAACACATTAATCTTACTTTACGTTTATTTCGAGCAATAACTTCTTGATGTTTTGTTTGTCCAACAGGTTTAGAAAAATATAAATGTGATGCTATACGAAAATAAGCACAACTTATGATTATAAATGGTATTATATATTGTGAATAAATATTATAAACAATATAAATTTTATTTATATCATAGGATTTTATTGTAGAATTATCTTGTTTTTGTTGATCATTATTTGGTAGACATTGATAACCATATTCATCTGTAAAACTAACATTATAAAAAAATAAACTAGGTATTGATGATCCAAGTGCAATAAGCCAAATTATAAAAAATATAATAAATGCACTTTTTGTTGATAATTTCGGTTTTAATGGATGTAACATGACATGGTAACGATCAAGTGAAACAGCAACAAGAGTATATATTGATACATCAATAGACAGTATTTGAACAAATGGTGCTAATTTGCAAAGAAAATGCGGTAATACCCATTTTTGAAGAACTGCTGCTTGAAACTATAAGAAGATTATTTGCACATATATATCTCTATATATGTTTGATTAACGAAAGAAAAGAACATACTTGAAATGGTACAGCAAAACAAGCAACAAGACAATCAGAAAGAGCTAAATTGCATATAAAATAATTTGTCACTGAATGCATTCGTCGATTGCGTAGAACAATGTAAATAATACATAAATTACCCACAAGAGCAAGTAAAGATATAATTCCATATGCAAAACTTAATAATATGACTTGATACTTTTCTGGTACAAGTGTTTCTGTTAATCCGACTATACTACTTGTTTCATTTAGTATTGCTGCTGCTACTGCTGTTGTTGTTGATAATACTGTTGGTAAAGTATTAGGAAGAAATTTCTCAGGATATAATGAATCGATACTACTTGTTAATAATAGATATGTACTCGAATCCATTTATATTCATCATAATATAAAAATCAATCTAGATATTTTATTCATTTGAATATAAAATAAGTTCATGATATGCTTTATGTATATGAATCTAAAATAAGTCAAAATGAGGTCAGATTCGTTGCAAGAAAAAAATATAAATTGATCTTTTAAAATATATTCCATAAGTGCACAGGATGAATATTGTTTTTTGTATCGTAAAAATAAACTATATATTTACCTGACATAAAAAAAGATGATGTATGTTTCAATTCTTTATATGTATATATATATATGAGAAATAATATCTATCAAAGAAAATTAGTGAGATGATTTGCAGATAATAGCAAATGTTCTCTCTTCTCTCATTCTTTATATGTACTTACTAGATCTATCAAAGAGTATAAATCACTCGTTTTCATGCAAACATCATCATCAAGGACATTGAGAAGAAGAAGAAGAAACAAAAGAAAAGAAGAAAAACAAGAAGCAAATTCATATCTATCAGAACTAGTTGCTTTATGACATAGTAAAGTTCTTTTAGTTATGCTAATAAGCAAACGATCAATATAAAGAAAAAAATGGACGAATTTATGCATGTGATTAATCGATTTTTTTCCTATAATCATAGAACTCATTTTTTTTGTTTATTTGATTAAATAATAACAGTAGTATTTAAAGGATAACGAGACGAAAAGCTACGGATATTATTTTATACGTATCACTAGTCAATTATTAAATGTTACCATATTTTCTATTCAGATATTATTCAAGCGCTAAACTACAAATGTCTCCTTGTGAAAAGAATACAGCAGCTGTTCTTTTGATATTAATAAAAAAAGACGAGAAAAAAAAGAATCCTATATATCATTATAATAGAGTATAAAATACTATTAATTTTCTCTTATTGGCTAGAACATTAAAAGAATATATATGTTAAGATTTAATTAGAACAAATGATTCTTCTAAATAAAAGAAATCTAGGTTAGAATTATATGTATCGATGCTGTAAATAACCAGTAATCGTTGTATATTACTCTCATTTGTTATCAATAGAACTACTTCTTTGTTATTTATTGCACGATAGGATAGTTCGTCATCAATTTTGTCATATAGAAAGATGATTAACACCAAATGTGCTGATGGACAAATCAAGCGAAAGACAAGTTCGACATTATTTATATATTAGACAAGTTAGTTTTGATAGACACTCAGTGATAGATTTATTGTCCTTTGACTAAGAAATAGCAAAAGGGCGAAGATCGCAGCAATTGACAGTGATAAAAATCAACTAATGATCCAGCTGTTTAACCTGATGTTTCTTTTCCTGTTTTTGATATTATCGAGAAATTCCAAGAGTGAGTGACATTCATTTCTAGGGGATTTTGATACAAAGAATAAATGAAATATGTTCGTCATCAATGTCTATTGCTTTTTTTTTGTTTTTTAATTAAATAGTTTATTCGGTTTCACAGTAGTACATCAATCAGATTTTTCACATAGAGATAGATAGATATACTCGAGAAATGTCTGATTCTGTTTTCTTCCTCAATTATTTCGAATACACAAAGAAAAAGTTATTTGCATTATTATAATAAGCTTGGAGAGAGGAAACGAAAAAAAAAAGAAGAATTTTGTATGATGAATGATAAACTGCTATCTGACTGTATTACAAATAAGCAATCGTCTGAACTATTGTCTCATTGTTGTTCATCGTCAATAAATGTAATGATGATGCTCTACTAAGTGATGATAATGTTAATAGTCAATAGTCTTCGTCGATGTCGTTTAGCAAATAAAAAAAAATTTTCTATAAGATTTGTCTATATTACGTGTCGAAATGATTTGTGTCATTACATAAAAATCTTACTCGTAGTCGATCGATCATTAAATATTACTTACTCAACTAAACTTACCTTTGTTCTTTTTTGATGAATATATATATACATGTAATGTGCATACGAGTTGACGTTACTTATTGTATGTAACAAAGAATGATATGAAATGATTGTAGTAGTAGTAGTTCGTTATTTTTCTTTTCGTATTTATTCTGATCTGCTCGCAACTTAATTTTATATATTCTGTCGTTGTAAAAATCACTAGAGAATAAACGATTGGAACTATCTGTTAGGATGTATTCAAGAAAAAGAATGTGGAAAAAATATCAACAGTAAATTGTTATGAAAACGTGTTATTCTCGTCGTATATATTTGTGTATGAAGTGAATCTAATTTTTTTTAGAGAGAAATCTTTGGAATAAAATTAAGCACGAAGTCCCTATTACTTCTATATGGATGAGACAACGAAGTGAAAAGACGACTTACATCTAGTCAGTTCCCAATAGAATAATATCATTCTTAAATCAAGAAAAAAAAATAGAAAGAGAGACAGAGAGAGGGAGAAAGAGAGAAAGAGCGAGAGAGAGAGAGAGTGAAATAGTATGCTCGTATGTGTATAAGCCTGACATAATATAAGTGAAAATCAATGTTGAACAAAAAAAAGAAAAAAGACAATCTATACAAATTAATTTATTTTTAGTAAATAGTTCAGTTAAAATAATTTTGATTGAAAAATATTTTTATTGATGAATGAATAAAAATACAAGTGAAAGTAAATTAACATGTCGAATGTATTAATGCACCGACGCGTTTTTTATTTTTGGCAAGTTCATTATAACGTTTTTGTGCTTCGGGAGTTGTTTCAATAAAATAATTAACATCTAACATCATGCCTTTTTCTTTAAGAAAGTCTTCGGTTTCCTCAGCTATTTGTAGTTGATTTTTCATGCCTTTTGATAAAACAATATATTCGGCTTCTTTTTCTATTAAATATTCCACATCTTTCAATTGAACACCTGGTACATGACGGGTATTTGTTTTCTTCCAATCCCATTCTTCAGCTCCTTAAATGTCAGCCACATAATTAATTAATAAAATATACTATTACATATTTTTAACTGAATCCATACCTCCTGGAAAAAGTCTGAAATCTTTACCAGGGGGAAATCCTTCAACTTCCACACGTCCCCATTCAAGATGTTCGATTAAAGGTGATTGTTTTTGATGCTCATTATCACTCTCAGCCATCTTCAATATAAATTAGTTAAAGAAACATTTTAGTCTTTTTTTTCTAATACATATATGAAACTTCAAGTTTTGTTTTATTGACAGTATTTTAAGTTTTGAAAAGAAAAAAAAAAGAAGATTTTTAACACAAAAACAAACATATAGGAAAGAAAAAGAACAATAGTTATACAGAAAGTTGAATAGATAAACATAAATTAATTAAGTTATCAATGATTCTTGTGAATCATTTATACTTGTAGTTGTTTTACGACGATTCTTTTTCGATTTATTATTATTTATCTAAACATAAAAGTTTATCTATTAAAAACCATTAGAAAATTTATTTTAATCTTTACTTGATTATGTTTTGGACAATAAACTGAATAACTTTCTTCAATTAATCGACAATTAACTAAACATTCAATAACAAAATAAAATCATTATCTATGAAATATTTTGTTTTTTCTTCTTATACCTATATTTTTTGCACAAGGATAATGATATCTTATTTTACAATTTCGATAACGACATGCTAATGCTGCGCCAGGTATTTGACATACAGAACATGTCTAAGATAAATTGTGATATTTTACAAAAAAACATCTTATTAAATATGCTTACAATATCAAGATAAGTCATACATGCATCGGACACATGCATAAGTTCTCCTGTTGTTGAATTCATTTGTATATGATTATTCCATAATGCACAATCACGATGTAACCAAACTTCTTTTAATTTTCTATAATGTTTTGCTAGTTGTTTATCTAGATTAAAAAAATATATATTTTTCAAAAAATTTATTAAATTAAAAATACTAACTATTATTAAGATGTAATTGACATTGTTCATTTAATTGATATGGGCCAAACAAAGGACCGAGGAATTCTTCATAAGGTTCTTTCCAACATATAATACATCTCCATTGAGCTTTTGTATCTTCAACTGTATTTACTTTAATTTGTTTTCGATGAAAATTAAATGATTGTATAGTTGAATTTTTCTTTGTATTTATTGTTGTATCAAGATGTGTACCTGATACAATATTTCGTGGTATATTTTCATTAAGTATAACATATAATTCATCGGAACGATTTCTTATTGATATTGTTGTTGATTCATTTGGATGAGATTTTTTTGTTGTACGTTTTTTAGATGGTACATTAACATGACGAAATTTTTTTATTATTTCAACTGTTTCTTCATCTTCTTTTGGACTATCTTTAATTTGATTTCGTTGAGATTTTTTTGTTGATGATTTTCGAGATGATTTTATTGAATTATCTGATGGTTCTTTGATTTCCATTTGATATTCATCATCAGAATTTTCATTTAAATAAGCAGCTAATTCAGGAACTTGTTCTTGTAATGCTCCGAAAAAATTTTGTTCTTAAAAATATAAAAAATATTCTTTGAAATATAATAAAGAATGATTTTTTCTACCTTCTTCTGCTGATATATTATCAAAACGAACTAGATGTGTTTGACGTTGAGGACGACTTCGTACATTCCAGTTAATACCACTTTCACTTGGCTCTTCATTTAAAACTACTTCATTATTACTCTTTTTCTCCTCATCTTCACCCTCATCAGTATTACTTTCATCATCATCGTCATCAGCACTACTATCATCACTATTTTTAACTGATCCATCATCATCATTACTTTCAGATGATGATGATGATGATGATGATGACGGTGCAGATTTTGGACGAATCATAACTGTTCCACCTGGTGGTACATATTCATTATCTTCATCTTCTTCATCACCATTATCTTCCATTAAGCCAGCAGCGATAGCTGTTGCTAAAAATAATCGTGTATTGCCTGTATATATTAATGAACGTTTTTTAGCTTCACGAATAGGTTTCGATGGTGGTGCATCTGTTGTTATTTTTTGAGGTATAGATTCTGACGATGAATTGATTTCATTATCAATATTTGAATGAGTAGGTGATTGAATAACTTTTGGTTTTTGAATTTTTGATGAAACTGAATCTGAATGATAACCATTTGTTGAATGATTTAATTCTAAATTATTTTCTGATAAACGTCGTTTTGATGATTTATGACGATTATTATTTAGAGAACCATTACGTTTCTTTTCATTACCATTATGAGATGAACCATTTGGATCACTATTTGATTTATCTAATTGTGCTTTTACAGGTGACGAACTTTGATTTTCACTATTTGAAGTTCCACGCTCTGATGATGTAGATAAATCACGTTTTCTAGATGTTCGATTACTAGATGCTGAAGTATCATCTGTTGTTTCCGATACACCATCTAATTGAGATGGAATTTTAAGAGTATTTGAACTAAATAAAAGAAAAATCTTCATTAGATTCTTTATTTAATCAATATATTAAATAAATCTTTTATTTTGAAAATTTTCTTATAAATTGATTAATAACTCTATATAAAATATTCTAAGCTTTCTATAGATAATAATTACACAATTTTATTATAGTATAATAACTAAAAGTATATAGTTATCGAACAATATTTAATATATATATAATTGTTAAAAAAATCTATTAGTAATGTATTGCTTCAATCAACAATTGTATTTTGAAATAATTTAATAAAAAACTATTTGACGCATGAATTATAAATTGTCAAGTGATTCTTATGTATTGCTCACATATATTTGATTACTAATGAAATTACTTGTTCAAAATATAGAATATTGATAACTCTATTAAATCATGTTTTGAATATTAAAGAAAACTATGTAACAATTTTTACACTATTTGTAGTTTCTACAAGGTTTGTTAAATTTGAAATATTCATATGATTCTATTATTAAATCGAACAAACAAGTGTCTACTTCCGAAGCGGAACAGAGAGTTACTTTTATCATATAAATGATAAAAGAAAAAGAATGTATAGATTCCTATATATTACTTTAGCAATATTTTATGTTTATAAGTTGTATCAATTGTTAATCGAAGTTTAGTCATTAATTGTTCATAATCTTGTTCAATAGGTTCCATAGAATTATCTATTTCTTGATCAATTAATCCATCAACAAATTGTTGTGGATCAGGTTGATTTGGTGGAAATATCATTTGTTGTTGTTGTTGCTGTTGAAGAAATGATGGATTATGTTTTTGTTGTAATGATTTAATAGATGGTAATGGTGCTGATGATGTTGAATTATTTAATCCTCGTGTTAATAAACTAGTTACAACAGGATGATTACTTATAATTGAATCACCTGTATTTAAATCATTCGTTGTATTCATACGATTTTTTTTATTTAAATCATTTCTTTCATCATGTGTTGAACTACGTTTTAAACCACCTGCAGTTTTTGCATGTTGTTCAAGCATAGATTTTTCATTTGTAAGTAAATTACTAACAATTGTCGTTGTTGGTGGTGTTGAAACAGGATTTTTTGGTGATAATGTACCATATGGAGATAAAGATTCACTGAAGGGTGATTGAGGATCATGAATTTCATTAACAACGCTTTTTGGATCAATAACCTAAATAAATTGAGAAAAATCATATTATGATTTTTTTTTTGTTTTAAATCTTACTTGTGATTCTGGTAATAGTACAAGTCTTTCAAGTGATTGTAATGGATGTGGATGTGCTTCACCTGAAGATGATAATTTATTAGATGCGGATGAATTCATATTTTGTAATTGTTGTTGTTGTTGTTGTTGATTCATAAACATTTGATTTTGATCTGACATAATTGGATGATTGGGATGACAAAATTGTTGTGATGGTGGCATACGATATTGATGATGTTGTTCATATGGATGATAATGCATTGGATGTGATTGTGGATGTGGTGGCATTATAGGTCGATGTCCACCCCAAGGTGGATGTTGTTGAGCATGCATCATCATTCGTTGATTTTGTTGATACATAAATTGTTGTTGTTGCTGTTGTTGCTGCTGCTGTTGCTGTTGTTGTTCATGCGAATAAAAACGTGGTGGATGTGGATTGTAATAACTTCCACCAGGTGGATTAACACCACGATACATCATTCCAGATGGTGGAAATTGATGAGATTGCATTTGTGGTGGTGGGGGTGGCTGTGGCATATAATCATTAAAGGGTGTTGGTTCCATTTGTGGAGGTAAAGCATCAATTGATGTTGAACGATGTGGTGATGAGGTTGATGATGATGGACTTATATCAAAAAACGTATTTGGGTTAACGGGATTGACATAAGAATTCGAACGATGATATGCATTTGGCGTATCAAATGATGGTGGACCAGGAAGTACACGATCTGGTGATGGACCACTACTTGCTGGTGGTGTACTTACATTTGGTCCAGGAGAATATGTATTGGGATTTTGACTCATTGTTCTATTTATAGTATTTATAGCAGGACTAGCTATTAATAATAAAAACAAAAGAATTTTATAGTAATATTAATTTACAGAAAAAAAAGAATGATTACCTGTACGAGAACGAGTCATTGATGGTGGAGGTTCTGAATTAAGGTCAAGATAGCGTGGTGGACTTAAACCTATAATTGCAAAAATATTGTATAAATATATTTTTTCTTCTAAAAACTAACTTTGACGACTTTGTTTCAAAAGTAAAATATTGTCCATTATTGTACATATATCATTGTTTGCAATACCTAATGATTGCAATTGAGCGGTAGTTAATTCACATATCTATTTATTGTAATTATTGATAAAAACTATGATTATTCTATGAAAATTATCTTACTGAATGAATATTTAGATAACCAGATCGTTCAAAACGATCAGCATATTTACTACATGTAAATGTATCTAGCCAATGTGCAATACTAACCATTGTCGAAAATTTCCTATCTAATCAAGCAAAACTCATTCTTCTGGAATGACAACAGTGTAATGTATATATATATGTTTATAATAAAGAATGATTGCATAGAACAGATTGAGATTTTGTTTATTTTGATTGGATATTTATTAAAAAAGAATTAATTTACATAGAATTTAAAATAGAAATGTTTTATTTATTAAAACAAATTTTTATAAAAACATATTACATATTTGCTAAGAACTATTCTTCATAAAGGTTCAATAAGGAATTTTTGATTCGATAAGCAAATTAACCAATCATATTATACGTTCTCACAGTGATGTATATTCTTAAATGTAAAAAGTATTTATAGTAGTCAATAATTTTTATCGAAGAAATCTAAATTGCTAATAAGTTTTAAAAAGAAAATATTAAAAATCATTATATACAATAGAAACATAATAAAAATCAGTTGATGAATGTAAACGTATATATAAAATGTGAAAATTCTATGTTGACTTTAATAAATATTTGTATACAGAAATATAACAGTTAGCAAAAGTTTATTTTTATAGTATCGCTCAAATTCATTGATGATTTATTCTGATATTATCAACCGAATTCCTTTTAGGTTTTTTCTTGCTACGACTGAAAAAAAAATTATAGTTGTAATATCCTGTTTATGAAACCATCCATGAAAATAAAGAACTGAAATTATAATATTAATTGAAATAGAAGGATATTAGGTATTATTAATTGTTAGAAGAAAAAAAAACTGACGATGTAATTATTAGTATTCAGCATATATTACAATCATATTATTCAGGCCACTATATTTACAGCTAACGTGGATGTTGTTTCTATTTAATTATCTTGAATATAACCAGATTGTAAATAATTTTCAAATGTACATTCATGTTTCTGTATTTCAATGAATATAAATTGAACTTTTAAAAACAAAATGCGATATATCTATGATACGATGATTAATAATCTCAAACGTGCCAATGTATGAGATTTGTTACATAAGATTGTCATGCTAAATTTCTGTAGGTAAGAGATAAAATGCGTGACTTCTAGAGATAATAATTATAGAATCTATTTGACATAAACTCGGAAATTTTATCTCTATTTTCCTAGTCTTTTGAACTTAAAAATACCGTTGATAAGTAATTATCATGGATGAGAAACCTCACTATGGAAATTAAAATAAGATGAAGAAGAAGAAGAAGAAGAACATTCTATCTTGACTTTGATTTTCTTGTCATCAACATTCGTATTATACGGAACTCAGTTAGTTAGTTACTATAAAAAAAAAGTCTTATTTTTTTATCTTTCTCTTAAAGAGACTAATTATAGAATGAGAAGGAAAAAGAAGATAAATCTCGCTATATTCTTTTTTTTTCATTAAAAAAATTTTTTTTTCTTCTGTTTTTATGTTTGAAAGGAGAAGAGGAAGGAATAACTCATACTGAAAATATTTTGATACGTATAAAAAATTTGACGCAATTCAGTAAGAAATTCTAAAAGAAATTATTTTCTATTTTAGATGACTACTAGCACAAGAAAAGATATTGTTTATGTTGTTGTTGATCTCTGGCCATTGGAAGATAAAACTGAAGATGTTAAAAAAATCTTATATGATACTATAGTTGAAGCAAAAAAAGACCGAACATGTTTAAAATATGAATTATGTGAAAATTTAAATGAAAAATCTCAAGTTACACTTCTTCAAGCATGGTCGAATGAGCAAGCACTTGATCAACATTTAACAAGTGAAATTATCAATAAGGCTAGTGAAGAACTTCGTCAACTTCTAACCAAACCAACAGAAATTCGTCGTTATAAAAACCTTGGTTAATTAAAAAATTTTTTGTTTTGTTTTTTATATCCTTATCAACGAATGAATCAAAAGTATGACTGAAATAAAACTACGTAGTATGATTCAATATACATTTTTTATGTTGTGATTGTATAATTAAATGGTTGTATGTTGTAAAAAGAAAATATAAAATTTTGAATGTTTAAATGAGTTGATGATAATGCATGACTCTTATTTCAAAACTTGTATGAAATAATAGAATACATTCTATTTAATTTATATCCGATTATTTATGACGTAAATGTAAGATGTGAAATTAAAAGATTAAAATTTAATAAAGGAAAAAGCGTTTATGAAGATAAGTGATTTAATTCATAAAAAAAGAAGTAAAAAACTTCATAAAGTTGTTAATATTGTATGTTTTGATAGAATAAATTATGGAGAAAACTAATATTTTTGAGTTTTCTATTTCATTATCGATTACAAAGAGTTTACACTGTGATAATTCGTTATTAATTGGTTGTATAAAATAAACTTTTTCTATTAAGTCTTTCAGTTTTCTTTTGTAAAATTGCACTATTTCTGTACTTTATTTCAGTTTAAAAAAATACTCATATATTAGAATATTGATTTTGTTATGGTATGACTGTTTTTTCTCTCCATAATTACGATACAGATAACATATGCGATATACATCTATGTATCGTTTTCGTTTTTTTCCTTTCACCTTTGATATTTTTCAGTCATCCGGTACTTTTTATACTGCTCTGAGATTTATCTCTCGTGCTCACGTCTATTTATAAATCCCTTTAAAATGTGCCCACTTAAATATAATGAATATTGTTTTTCAAAATTCAATCAGTCCTGAAAGGGCTAAAAAATTTAAATAATCGTTGATCGATGTCAAATCAATATATTTTTTGTTATTCAATATAAACTATAATACAACTTCAAATTATGAAAAGTAACTGATCAAGAAATAGATTATTTATTTAAATGAAGTTCATCAATGATATGCTTAGATTCCAAAAATACGAGTATTACCAAAATTATTTTCAATATCACTATGTAATATTAAAAAAACTTTTAATTTAAGTCTACACTAGTATATTAATATATTATAGAAACAATAAATTCGTACGTAATGCTCCTCCACTTCAACAACATATTTTCAACCCTGATATATACAATCATCCTCCAATGAATATTCTGATTGAAAGGCTTTGATATAATATAATATAATATTATTAATGACAAGTAAAAATATGAAAGATATCTGATAAATCGATGTCAATTAATCATTGATACATATCATTTTATTTCATTATAAATCATAAAAATATCTCAAATTTATTTTGAAGGTTTACCTTGATGTGTACCGAAGACAGTTTTCTACATTTTATTTCAAAGTTTAAATGAATACAATGAATTTGTTTTTTAAATAAAAGAGAAGAAAATAGCACTAACATAAAATTAAAGACGCTGATAATAAAACCAATGACTATAAAAAAATGACTAAAAGATGATTTTTTTGTTGTTGCTGGGATTGTCTAAATAGTTGAATAATTCACTTCATTGAATCTATTCTTGTGTTTGTCGTTCTCGTTTCTTATATTCTCTTGTACCTTCAATAGTAAGTACTAAACTTTTCGGTGCATCCATTGATGGCATAATAACTTCGACAAAATGAATTTTATTCGTTTCTTTAACAACTTGTGCCATAGCTTTTTCAAATTCTTCACGAGTTTTAACTTGACCAGCAAAACCAGTAGTTGCCTGTTCACGATTTTGTTTTAAACCATCACCAAAATATTCAAAACTTTTATGATAACGCCACATTTGAATATTATTATAAGCACGATCAGGACCATGAATAAGTTTTTCTATTGTATAACCATCATTATTTAACAAAAGAATAACTATATTAGTTTTAAATCGTAACATTGTTGATATTTCTTGACATACAAGCTAATAGGAACAAATAAATTTTGAATTTTATACTTTAAACAAAATTCTTACTTGAAAAGAACCATCTCCAACTATGAGATAAATTCGACGATTATCATTTTTTCCAGCTAATGCAGCACCTAAAGCTGCACCAACAGAATAACCAATTGAACCCCATAAGATTTGTGTTAAAAATGTAACACCTTTTGGTGCATGCATATTAAATACACCTAAAATATATTTGTTTGTTTTTTCTAAATAATAAAATTATATTTATGAAGTTTACCAAATTCTGATGTTCCAGTTTCAGCTACAACGATTGAATTTTCTGGAATGAATTCTGGTAATTTATGCCAGAAATATTCATGTACGATTTCATTTTGAGTTTTAGGATCTAAATTTGGTTTTTCGACTTGATATGGTTTACCATTATATTTATGAATAATATCAGCTGGCCATTGTTCAGTTAAATCCGGTAAAAGTTGACGCATATCAACTTTATCATAGATAGCATGGAAAATTTTTGTGTGATATGTATGAAATTCTAATAATTGAAAAAAAGAATTAATGATAATATTTAAAAAAAAGGCAAATGATAGATTTACCGATTGTCCGTTTTTTTGATAAACGATAAGTAAAACCACCTGTATTAAAATCACTATTCATTGAACCAATCGAAAGTATAAGATCTGCATCATACACTTCTTTTTGTACTTGTTCAGTTGAACAATTTCCAGCAAAAACACCACGAAATTGTGGATGATTTTCATCAATACCACCTTTAGCCATAGGTGTAACATAAACAGGTAATTGAGTTCGTTCAATAAATGTAAAAACTTTCTTAATCATTTCATGTCGAATTGCACATCTATATCAAAATGAAATAGGTTTTAATATTAATTAAGATAAATTATAATTATTTACGCATCAACAATAACAACAATATTTTGAGATTTTTTAGCATGCTCAATAATAGTTTCAAGAGCTGCTTGATGTTCATCTTTTGGATTGCGTGGAATTGATAGATTAAGTGGTTTAATGGATGATGGATTAACATCCATTTCATAATCACTCAAATCTACAGGGAAACCAATATAAACTGGTCGACCTTTGAGTAAACTAAATATAAAAATAAAGTATTCTATGGTGATATATTTTGATAAATATCGTTACCATTCAGTAAGAACACGATCTATCTCTTCGACAGCATTAATTTTTGTTAAACTTGCTTGAGCAATCTATTATAGAGATATTTCAAAAATATTTATTTTATATTTAGATAAATTAGTACTTACTGTTACTTCTTTATACATATTTTGAAAAACTCGAAAATCACCATTACCAAGTGTATGATGAAGAATAGCACCGCTAGCTTGTGATGCAGTTGGAGGTGTTCCAACAATATGTACTACTGGTATCATTTCAGCAAAAGAACCAGCAATACCTGCAAATAGAAAATATTATTTATAATAAATATTATTTAAAATAAACTTTACCATTAATAGCTGAAAGTTCACCAACACCAAAGGTTGTGACAATAGCCTGTAGAATAGAATTCAAAATATAATATTGTACTTAGTATATATGTAGAATAACTTACACCAATGCCTCGAATACGAGCATATCCATCAGCAGCATAGGCTGCATTTAGTTCATTACAATTATTACCCCATTGAATACCTTCGAAATCTATATGAAAACAAGAAATAAGAAAATTTTTCGATGAGTATAATTTTACCTTCGATTTCATCAAGAAATGGCTAAAATATACAATCAAAATTAAATAAGGAAAAATAGAGAAATTAAAAATCTTTTACCAAATTATAATCACCAGGTACTCCAAAGATAATATCAATACCTAAACTTTTCAATCTTCGAAGTAAATAAGTACCAATCGTTATTTTTCCGGATGACATTCTGTGTTGATAAAGTTAATTAAAATTAAGTTTTATCTTCAATAAAACGAATGATATATAAAGTGAATTAAAAGTATTCTTTAATAATATTTCTCTACTATACACACATGTAGTAACACACTGGGTACAAAGGTGATAGTACTCGATAGCATATCATACCCTCGAAAGGCGGATTGATTCGAACAAAAAGGAGAATGTATATTACAACAATGGTAGACAAAAAAAACGATCGAAAAGTACACTCTAGTAATCACGAATTGGAGAATCCTTTTAGCCATTGCATAACTATATTGATTTAGATGTCGCGTTTGATCAAAATATTGGGATTTTTTTCAATAAATATTTACGGTTATACATGCATTATAACTTGTAAGAAAAGTAACACATTCATATTATCATTCTTGTTTTATACATACATACAGTTTTTTGTCTCATGCTTCTTGATCTGAATCGTGATACGAATAAGAATGCCATGTGATTAATAGCTTTTTATCTTTTTCGTTCTTCTAGAAGTCTATATTAATTAAGGTCAGACTATGTATCATTCAAAGACTTATACAATTCCATGTATTTAGGTTATTGTTTTGGAATAATTATTACACAAACTAGTTCTATTTAGTATTAATTTAGTGATCAATCATATTCATTTTTTTTTCTAACGTTTCTTGTTGAATGCTAATTAGATATTTATCAATATAATCATGATAAAACAAATTTATACCAGTGGATCATATTCATAGAAGCAGTTTTACTTTCAGTTCTATCAAAAAACGTTGTACAGACAAACGGGACAAAGACAAAAAACTGCTATTAATAATGAGACAAATAAAATGAGGAAGTTTTCTTTTCCTCACTATGATAAACAATTTGAAGAATGATAGAAAGATAAAGAGCAACAAAACAAAGATGAAGAAATAATGATAGACAATATACAAACACAATGAAATAAAATAATTCTATTTATTCTTGCGACGTTTGTCACTGCTTCGTTCTTCTCGATCATCTGCATTACCACGTTTAGATGATGAACTAGAAGATGGATTAGCTGATGGGGCTGAACCACCTGCACCACCATGTCGTACATCTTTCAAGAAATCAGTTAAACCAAATGGATCTTCTTCACGTTGAAATTGAACAGGACCATCACGTGCTGTAGCTCGATCAGCTCCTTTGAAGCCTTTTTCTTTTTCAAATCTAAAATAAAACATACAAAAATATTAAAATTCTTTCTGTATAATAAATAAATAAAATGAACGTACCGTGTCGCAGCAGTAGCTAAAGCTTCAGTATCCTCAAAAGTATCTTTTGATGTTTTGGTTGGTTTATAAATTTGAGAAGCAACAGCTGTTGATGAATTCCATGGTTGATCATATACATTGTAAGCTTCATCATCACCCAAACCAGTATTGAGACCCTACACAATACAAAATAATATAATTAATGAACAACATAATGAAATAATAAATTCTTACCGCTGACATATTGAATAGACGTTGATCATATTGAACACCTGTATTAGTTGCACTTTGCACACCCAATGCAATTTGTTCACTAATATCACGTTCTTTTGGACGTCTAAAATGAAAATTAGGATATATTACACAAGAAGTTTTATTTTGTTTTCTATTTTACTTTTTATCACCGCCAGCTCGTTGAAGAGCAGCAGCACGCTGTCGTTCTTTATTTCTTTCTTGTCGAATTTGATCACGTTCAGCACTTTGCTCATCACCTTTATCTAAAAGAATAACAAAAACAAATTTGATTTATTTTATGTAGATAAATATTTTACCAGCAAGTCGAATTCCCGCTCGATCTGTTCGAGCATGAAGAGCTAATTCACGTAATCGTTCTTCTTTGTCATCCTTTTGTTTTTTAGCTATTTGTTTTTCAACTTTAGCACGCATATCTACAGCTTCACGAGCCTAAAGTAGAGAGAAAAAGAAACACCAGTTTTATCGTTCGTTTCAGCAAGTAAATCTCACCTTTAAATCGGCTGTATATAAAGCTTCAGCAAGTTTAGCAAAATTTTCATTAATATGTGTACTTTGAAGACCACGACCATCAGCTGCTAGACGTTTATCAAGTGGAATTGTATAACCCTACAAGAAATCAATTTTTATCATTTAAAATAAATTAAAAATCAAGAATTCATACTTTGCTATTTTTCCAATTGGATATACATGGTGGAATCTTCCAATCTTGTTGTTCTTTAACAGTAACTTTTCGTGTTGGTGAATGTAGAATTGGAGCAGGAGGACTTGGAGGTCCACGTGGAAGTTTTTTATTGATTCTATTAAATTAAATAATAATGATTAGAACATTAATAAGATAAATATTTTATTTTACTAACTTGAATCGAGGTGGTTCCATAGGATCTTTTTGAACTTCAACCATTTGAATGATACGTTGTTTGGCACCGGAATTAAATGCAGCTCCTTGTTGTGAAGGTGTATAACGAATATACTGAACAGGTCCTGTTTTTTCTGCATGTTGAACAGGTAGAGCAGCTGATACTTTCGATGATACAAGTGCTTCGAGTGCTTGACGCGTTTTTTCTGTTTTCTAAATAAATGACTTTAATATTTTCTTTAATCATCAATATAAAATTTACTTCTTTCAATTCTTCTTCAGTTGGTTTCTGAAGACCAGGATCATCTTCACGAACTTCTTTTGGTAGTAAATCAACAAAACTTGAATAAACAATCTGAAAAATAATAATGATAATACAAAGAAATATTTCTAAAATTCTTAACTTACTTTACTGCCTTTAACATTGTGTTTGATAATAGCATCAAATTTTGGTTTTCCATCACCATCAACTTGAAGTTGAAGTGCATTTGACGTTTGATTCTTTATCGAACCCATATTAAGTGGATATTGAGCCATATGAATTTCAGGAAAAGCACCACCATCACCAAACATCTATTCAAGAGAAAAAAACAATATTTTATAAATATAAATTAGATTTTTCTTTTATTTACATCGGGTCTACGTGGTACAAAATCTTGACGATGACCGTAAGGTGGTACAACGAATTTTGAAAACATTGTAAGTTCATTTCTTTTTGGTTCATTGCGAACTTCATCATCTTCACGATCATAGCCCGTCATTGACGGTTGAGGAAGAACTCTACATTAAACAAAAGAAACAATATTTGCTACAATTGAATGATAAAATATTATTAAACTTACTGTGTCAATGACATATTACGATGTATACAATTATATGAATTATCTAGAAAAAAACGACAGTTGTAGACTTTCAAAATGACGAAATAACGCATTACGAGTGACATATATAAAGATTACTCGAAGATTTTCTTCGAAAACTCGCTCAGATATTAAATATACAATGATATTTCATAATTTAAATTATCTGTTGGTATTATACACCTATTTACGTCAAAATTAAGAAAGAGAAAAGTTAAGAACACACTATGAAAGAGTATTTCATAAATTATCTAAATTTGTTTTGTTTTGTATGTCATTTCTGTGATTTTCATTGGTTTGTGTGTATGTTGAAACACGCCATCTATTTGCGTGGTTCAATAAATGAATATGGAGGTTGGAATAGTGAAAACAAGCGACATCTCTTTGAAGTCTAAATCTTCACACGACTGATCCAAAGCTAAGATTTTACAGAATTAACTTTTCTATCCATACAATAGTTTATACTCTAATAGTTCGTCATTAGTTTTGTTATTTTAAATAGATTACTATGTTAATTGTCTCGACGCTTGAAATCAGTTATCAGTAAAACACTTCACAATGTCATGAAAGAAAAAGAAAGTTGACGAACACAAGTACGTGCAAAAGTTATTCTTCTTTTCAAAAATGAAACATCTTTTATATCTTTATTGGTTTTTATCAAGTTTCGTCATGTAATTTGTCATATTCAATAGATTTACATCATCATTCTTTCGATTCCATATAAAGATATTTATAGATAATACTTATTTGAACTGCTTCTCAAAAGTATGTGCTAGTCGTATTACATTGAGTGAAAGATTACAAGTACTTTAGAGTGATTAGTTTATTTCTATTTTAGAGGAAACCATTTCGATTATCTGGATTAATAATGACACAGTTGAATATTTATGTTATTTTTATGACTTTATTTCATCTATGTATGAGTGTTATGACGCGAGAGATTAATATTATGAATACAACAGAGCCTATTGGTTGTAATGGTCTTCCTTATCAAAATATAAATCATACTAAACTTTATTATGAAGTTACTTCTTATTCTCAAATTGAACTTTCATCATGTGATAATGGAAAAATTGATTTTCAGACATTTTGGTTTGTTATAGATGATCTCTGCAAGTATAATAGAACAAGCGATATATACTTTGCAACTATCTATCCAAATAAAACTTCTTATTGTCCGGAAACAAAAAGTTTAAGTATATCAGAGAATGAATGTAAACATAGTTATAATTTTAGAAGACAATCAATGATAATTAACAATATCACTAATTCAAGTATATTAAATTATATTTGTTTTAATGGAAAAGATAGACGCACAGTAGAGCTAGCTTCCGGTGTTAGTTATTCTATTAAAATCATAGGTAAGTAGCAAACATGATATAGTTTATAGTTACTCAGTAGTCATTCATCCAGTATTTATATAATCTTTTGATAGATTATAAGTTTCGAAAACTTTATAATACCTAAAAAATTTGTATCATAAACATTGACAACCAGATAATACGTTCATATATGATTAAAATTCAGCGAAAGTTCAAAAAAAGTACTTCTTCACTAGTTAGAGGTGAAAAAATTATACACATTGGAATTGAAAATTAGCAGATTTTCCTAACTTTTAAATAGAAATAATTATTTCTTATGATTGTTGCATTACCTAGTTTAGGAGAACCAATGTATTCCATTCACTACTTTTTAAGAAAAGCAAAAAATCATTATGATGAAGACGTCGTTTGATGTTTCTTCATTGCGCATACTAAATTTTGAATTGAAATTAAATAATGAATTATTTTCATGCAGCTGACATATTATTACATCGCGTTTAATATTCAGAAAGTTTTCAAAACGAATCAATTTCTACAAAGATTTATTAGTTTTTGTTTTTTTAATCTGTATCATATGTCTTAAAAAAGTCTTTTAATAAACATTTAAAAAACTGCTTTAGAGCCTGTAACTTCTACAATAACAAGTTTCCATACAACATATGTGACAACAACGCCTTTATCCACAACAACTTTCTTAAGTACATCTATATTACAATATAGCTCCACCATGACCACTGTAAATACGTTAACTATACAAGATGATTCTTCAAGTAAGCATCTTGAGGGTGTGGGTAGGTTATCTGATAGATCTTGTTCATTATTTACATATGAAAAATTCTTCTTTTTTGTACTCATAATATAAACCTCTTCGTCAGGTAAAAATTATGATTGTTATTTTTTATGATTAATGTTATGTATTGTTTGTTACACTAAAACTAATTGTGTACAAATAATGATTCTTGAATTAATCAATTTTAACTTCTTTGTAAATTTTGTAATGTACTTATGATCAATTGTATACATTAGCTTCTACTTCTGAGAAGTCTGAACTAACATCTTCATTCGAAATGCATACAGTAACCACCACAAATTCACTCGTTGAAACATATACTTCAACAGATGCATTTTGCTACGGAATACATAAATTTTAGTACCATCGGTGTGACTATTGTCTTAAATTTAGTAACAGATATGCAGACTTCTTAACTAACTCTTCAGCTTTACTTCTACCTATATTTACTCGACTATTGAAACTTTATAGAATTCATCATAAATATGTATCCTATTGTTTTAGAACCTCCATCAAATTCTCCAGATTTGAAGATTATCTTACCAATTGTTTTAACCTTAGCATTCGCTGTTGTGATAATTACAATTGGATTCTTCTATTATCGACGACGTCTTCGCAATAAGAAATCAGGTATCTATAAGCAAACTCGACACTCATAAGATAGATATATTAAGAATATCTAGATTTGTTTTTACATTAGAATAGAAAAACATATAATAATATAATAGAAATATATATTATTTCTGAGGAAGCAAATGCTAATCATCATCGTATGAAACATGGATTCATTGAGTAATTAATAGATTCGTGTCTTGGATTTATAATTCCATGTTAGAAGATACATTTGAAACACTAGAGAATCTAGTTAAAATTTATGCAAAACAAAATCTTATTTTGAGAAATATATCAACAGTAAAATTATTCATTCAAATCACTGACATAAAAAGATTTCAAGTAATTTATTTTTACTCCATGAAATTCGATTAATTATATAAATTTGAAAGATTGAATATTTTTATTTGATAGAAACGTATTCACCAAATAAATCTCTGTCGACAGCAGCTCAATTATC